ATGAGTCTCGAGTACAATTGATGAGTACAACTAACAAGTCTCAAGTCGGATAAGGTTCGGCTAATAAATCACTTGACTTCATTCTAGTTATTTCAATAGGGAGATAGAGAAGCAACAGCGGTTCAAGGGAGAGACCAAAAGGACGTTTAGAACATCACGACTTTCTCAAATTGCAGATATGTCCAGAAGGCGTCCCTTCCGGATTTCATGACCAAACCATCACTATCTTCGTTGGGCAGTGAGTAATGGCGGTCTATTATCCCCCTGCTATTAATTATGGTGATAGGGTATTCTGCCACTCCGCTCATACACGCCCCTCAGTAAGAGGCGAAAAATCTCTTTTTCAGCAGGAAAATCATATATTCAACTTCGTATCCCTATCGTTTACCAAAATATCCACAGCGGCGAGGAGAACGCGAAACTGCCCGAAGCCGCTCAGAAATCGGGAGCGAAAGATCACCACGACGAGCATAACGGGTGTCGCCATAGAAGATCGGAGGAAGTTGCAAAACAGTCGAGCGATCACCGTCAGAAATAGGGGGGACATAGGTGAACATCTCCTCGACTCGGATGATGTCCGAATTCTGCACGTCAACAAATGATTGATCCTGGGCTTAATGAATGGAGAAGGACTCAAACCGAGAAAGAATGCATTGGTAACCTTGATGTTGCCAATCGCGAATTGTCCATGCCGGATTGCGTTCACCAGTCCCACCAATGGGATCAGTTACCCGCTTCCACTCCCAAAACGAGTTGTCTGGTAGGTCAGGTACGGCTTCTTCTGGTAGCCACAGCTGAGGTTGTCCTGGAGTATAGATCCGTACCCATTCCTAATCCTGCCAGACTGAATATTCGAGCCATGGGTGTTGCTCAGCGGTTCGGCCCGACGTCTGAGTTGCATCCTCGACGTCCATGCCGAAGTGAAAGATAAGGCATACCGTGGATTCCGATCCAGCTAGCAAAAAAAACAATCACCATGCACAACCATGCATAACCAGCAACTACATAAGAAAGCACGAGCATAAGAAAGCACCCTTTTGTGACATAATCAACATGCATTAATCTATTCATCATTTAGCTCGAAAATAGGCTTCTCTTGTTAATGGAGCTGCATAGTTGGGTCGTAGGTAGATATGGATCAAAGACCCCAATAGACTCAGGTGGTTCAATTGCACGAGATGCACGTACTGGTTGGTGCTGATAGGACGTTTAACGCACGCGATCCGACAGTAATCTAAGAATCGCATTCAACATTTGCGGTAACATACACAAAGCCGATGATTGGGTGGCCATGCTATGTTAATCAGGAAGAAACATCGAATTAAAGCCGTGAACGGCTTAAGGGGCAGCGACTCGCCGGTAGTTCTCTGTGGCCTAATCCCTTTTGTACCAAATGCTGTTGTTAGACTGCCCGCCTTCTTAATCAAGATTTGGGATATAGAATTCCTTCCACTCTCGGTATGTATGGAGCGGAGGCGGATCAATCCCGGATGAAAAATCTTAACCCGTTGAGCATCTGGTTATTAAGGATCCGGACATCACTCCAGCCACGACATAACACCCTTGATGCAAAATCGGGAAGTACGACTACAAGGATTACATGTAACACAACAACAAACATGCAAGCAAACACTTTTGTAACAAGGCGCGGCTCAGGTATCGAAGCCACTCGCCCCAATCAAATTGAGGATCATAGAAAGACGAGTACGAACATCAGCCACCATCCGAGTTCGAGGATGCCGACGAAGAGGACAGCCCAATGTATATGAGATCCAGTAATCCCGAAGCAAAAACTGGACGTGCAATGTTGGGGCGCGGATAACCGAACCGTTAATATCATCTAGTGACCCAATCACGATACTGCCATGTGTAAAAGGATGCATATGAGACCGGCTAAGAAACAGAGCCCATAGTGGTGCCTCCTATGTTTTCACTAGGCCAATACACGTCGAAGTGGTAGAACCTACGTCATTCCCGATAGGTTGTTGTGTTATCCGGAGCCGGTCCCAAGTGGATTCGGCGACTGGTTGCCACGGACCGGGTACATAGACTCGAATCCATTCAACGCTTGTGCTCGCAGGGCCATTAACGATGTCGTACTCAAAATAGCGTGGTAAAGACCATCTTGCAATACCACATATTGTGGAATTAAATATAACAACCCAATAAGCCGTTTTGAGGCAAAAGGGAGCGACGAAAACATGGAGAAGCAAAACACAGCACAAACCAAGACAACCCAAATTAATGCAACAATCAAATCAAGCACAATCATATCGTTTTAACCGATATGTTGTTCAAACATCAATCCGATTCGTTCCAATCAAAACTAAGATCATAGCTCGGTGGGGGGAGAAGGTTCCCGCCACGCCCCATCCGGAACTAAAGATTCCGACGAGGAAATAATTTCTTCATTCACGAGCTCCATCGATCCAATGGTTAGTTGTAAATTGCCAAGGCATTAATAATTTCGTGTAATCCAGGCTCGGAATTCCCATACATAATATGACACGTACGACATGGGCAGATAGACAGACGCAAACACAAACACAGACACAAGCAGACACGGACACGGACACGGACACGGACACGGACACGGACACGGACACGGACACGGACACGGACACGGACACGGACACGGACACGGACACGGACACGGACACGGACACGGACACGGACACGGACACGGACACGGACACGGACACGGACACGGACACGGACACGGACACGGACACGGACACGGACACGGACACGGACACGGACACGGACACGGACACGGACACGGACACGGACACGACACAGACACAGACACAGACACAGACACAGACACAGACACAGACAGACGGACAGACAGACAGACACAGACAGACAGACACAGACAGACAGATAGACAAACAGACAGACAGACAAAGAAACAGACACCAGAGACAGAGAGGCCAACAAACAAAGAGAAACAGAGACAGACATCGACAGAGAGACAGAGACACAGACAAAAAGAGACACACCTCCGACGCGCAGCGCGCCGGATTCGACGTGCCACAGGCTTCGCCTCCGCACGTGCACGCGTCCGACTCCGAGCCCGAGAGCCGTGATGTAGACGGGCAGCAAGGTGCCCCAGTTGCACGCGGCCGCTGGCGGCTTGTCCCCTGGCACCCTCGCCCAGTGGAGCGAGCCAGTGGGAAACGGCTTGTGACGCGCTTGTCTCGGCGCTGCCCCGCGGCTCTCCTTGCCCTCCACGACGGCTGTATTCTGGCCCGTGGCCAGGAGGTGCAGGTGTTCGGCGGCCCTCTTTGGACTGGTTGCTACCGGCCCGAGTTTGGATCAGTGTTTTGGAGGTTAGGGGTGGTTTCCCATTCAATTTCAACATGATCCAGGGGGTTAATCCCTAAACCACCAATCCAAACCAGCAATTAGGGGTAAGTTGAGGCGGGTGCTGAAGAACAGAGCAAATCTTATAGAGCCCGCGCCGGCAAGACATTTTTCGCAACTCCGGCACCAACATATTTTATCATCTCATATGCAACAAAAATGTATACTCGCCGCATGCGAAAAGCATGCTGCCGTTCTCCAATCATAGGTCGCTCGCGATAAGGTCACGCCAAAGAGTCAGTGAAAGGCGGTCGCCTAAGCAAGGTGAGAACGGATCCGCGGGCTGTTGGCCTCAAAAGATCCATCCACACACGCAATTGTTGCAAGCGCAAGCGAAATCGCGATCGACCGGAAAACATCCTGGGTGCAAGCAAAGCCGAACTGATTTCGCCCAAAGCATTGGGAAAACACCACTGGTCGCAACAATCGGCCGCGGCCCACAGTTTCTCGCATTGCCAAACTCTCGGAAGATGGGCCAAGATTTTAGCCAAAATTGCTATGGATAGGCAGATATATGCCCCGACTCTTGATCTAGAAGACACAACGACTTCGTTCAAAGCCCAGATCATTTTTCCGAAATATCCCAGATATTTTGATAATTGCACTCCAGACCATTCTTCCGAAAGATTCCGGATATTTCGACAACAGCATTTCCCGAAATATTTGGAATATTTCGGGAACACGGTTCCCGAAATATTCTAAATATTTCGAGAAAATTATGGGTGGCTACGATTTTCCAAAAATATCTAGAATATTTCGAGAAATTGGTCCCTACAAAAAATAAAGCCACTACATCTTCCGAATTATGGCCGGGGTAACCCGGACAGATTTGGTAAGCAATCCGGAAGAAATATAAAACGGTTACATGCCCGGACCAAATTTCCGAAATATCCGGGATTTTTCGGAAAAACGGTCCAAGAACATGCGCGCAAGTGCGACGAGCAAGTTTCACGGTTTCGTTATATCAATCCAATATTCAATAAAACAATAACCCAAAATAAATTTTAAAATTGAATTACTCAAAAACACATATTAAACCTTTTTTTTTTTTAAAACATCTTATTATCATTGTGAAAACCAAAAATATATCAATCCATTCCAAAAACAAAATCAAAAACAATATAGCAAACAAATCAATCCATGCTTTAATAAATTAAATTATGTGTATATCAATTCCAAAATATATCCATATTTGTTTATTATATGTATATATATCAAAATACCCAATCAAAAATATTAATTTACACAATAAATAATATAATTTTAATTACCCATATTTTCTATACCTTTCAAAAATATAATCTATTTTCCCATGCCTTAAAACAATAAAAACAATATAAAATGCAATATATAAAATACCTTTTTAAAATAGACCCAAATACTTAATTTTCTCGACCAATCAATTTCTCATATAAGACTTGCACAAAAACTAATCACAAAAATACAATTCCAAAACGGAAGTCGAACAAACTAATTTATAGTTCAAAAAAAGTGCATTGCAGCGGTAAAAGTCATTTTCTAACAGAAGCCAGCAAGGGCACCACCAATAGAATCGGGCTAGGTTCGAGCGGGTTTAGTAGTGACAAGAGTTAAGAGTCCAGTGTCGTTGCAAATCGGGAAGCGAAAGTCGAGAGTTAAGAGTGAGGTCCTTCGAATTTAGATATAAGGCGCGAGTCGAGAATCGCAAACTAAAAATCAAAAGTCGACAAACAAAAATTAAGAAGCACGATCGAGAGTTGAAAGCAGAGTTGAGAATGGAGAGTCCACAGTTGTTGTTAAGTAACAGCATGTAACAGCGAGTAGTTGTTAATAAACACATGTTTATTGTTCTGGTACTTTCCACAAAAGTATTCCCTCTCGTCCGGGTCCGACTGGCTTGGGGGCGCGGCCCCTATTCCACTTCACCACATGTGGGGGGGGGGGGGGACGTTGACAATACCTTCCAAAATGCGTCAAAGCCTCGACATGGCCCCAGTTTGTCTGAATGCAGCCGCTGTCTTGTCATGAGAAACCAACTTACGCAATCCAAATATAATCGCCTAAAAAAAGTAGGCTTGCTCACCACCTTTGGACACACACCCAAGAAGTTTTGGCCCAAGCACCAATAAAAAGCAGGAGATACTTCTCCCAAAATTCGGCAACTCTCGTGGGCTTTTTCCTCCACCTCACCTGACGCCAGGTGCGCAAGGTCAGCTTCCAGGGTGCGGATGCGGCGGGCGTTGGCCTCGAACTTGTCCTCGGCGGGCGCCTGTTCAGCCTCTAAGTCTCTCACTTCAGCGGATGGCTTCCATCTTCAGCCCCCTGGAAAATAAACAAGTAGTGATCCACTTCAGCGGGGTGCGTCCATTTGTGTCCCTTTTGGAGAAAGAAAGAAAGAAAAGCAACAAAAACTCCCCGGTCTAAACCAGAGTTGCTGATTCCCCTGTTGCCAGCAAATTGTTGGTTCCCATGCTTCCATTTGCGTTTTCACCCCCTGGGAAAAATACAAATATGTCCAGTAGTGATCGATTCCGTTTAAGACCAACAGTTTTTGTTATTTTAATCTTAAACAAATGGACGATTGGCGACACACGTCTAAACTGCCCTCAGATCCCGCGCTAAAAGTGACTAACTTTTAGTGGGTTAAATAACTACCACTAAACACAAAAAGGCTAAAAAGGTCGGGGGATGGCTGGGAACCACCAAGTAAACAATTTGTTTCACACAGAGCATGGTGACGGCACAAACAGCATATAAGCATGTCGCCTGGAACCTCGCCCAAACAAACCTAAGCCGTTTAAACGGGTTGGAAGGAACCCTTTATGGCAGACAAGTGCTTTGTGTTACTCCTCCGCTGGTCAATTTAGCGTGCATGTTTGCTCATGTTGATCCTGCCTTGCAAACTTCCATGTTTGTTTCTGGGATGGGAGCAAAAGGCTAGTCACCTCTTCTTCGATACCAACATGGGCAACCCACCAAAGGTACCTTGTACCTTTCAAGTTCCCTTGACAAAGAAACTCAGTAGAGAAAATGGAATCGCCCACCGAATTGCCCGCAACCACGACTTCGGGTTGCGGAATCGCGAAAACCGAATTCGTTGATTGGTCTGCTGTGGACAAGTGAGCGTCTTCCATCACGGACGCCACATACCGCGCGAAGGTTTCACGATCCGGCGCGTTCAGCTCCCTCGCGCTGAAGAAGTAGGGCAAATCCACGTAATCCTCCAATCGACTTGCCCGTAGAAATACAGGCTGGAGGGCAACTCCACAGCTACTCCGCTGGGAACCATGAAAAAAAGACAGCCCAATGAAAAAGCGACTCCTTCCATTTGCTTGAGCCGCCTAGAAACGATACAACCACATGTTTCCAGTAGAAATGGCCCTCCTTTAGCACCAACAAGAAACATATTCTTGAGCAAATGGAAGCGTCAGCTAGCCTCTGGCAATCTCCTGTTAAAACCCTCTGGGCAGTGAAGGGCACGGGTTTTCCACCGGAAGACATTACTCAAGGTCCAGTCCGGAGGCGCCCGCCCAGCCCGAAACTGGGTCACATTCCTTCAAGCATCTTGCGATGATCTCGGAGGGATGCATCAAGGAAACCAGAAAAGCCCCGTGAATCGGGGGTCTGAACGCTTGAAGCCTCTCAGCTTTGTATATTTCTAGGCCATGTCTTAGGTTTAAAGTCTAGTATGTGTAAAACAATTGTTTTATGAGTGGGCTGGCCAGAAAAAAGTCCGAACTATTTCTTTTTACCACTAAAGCTGTCCAAGTCCAAACAAAAAGAGTGACTAAAGTCCGAAACGGGACTCAAACCCAAACCAATCCAAACCAATCCAAATCCAAACCGAAAAAGTTCGAACCAGGGGGCAAACCACCAATCCAAAGCACCAATTGGGGCTATTTTTAGCTCGGAGGAGGCCTGACCGCCTACGACGGATCTGTCCTCCCCGGGGATCTGTACCACAAAGCGGCGGCGGAAGGACAGCAAGGAGCCTCACAGAGTCTGAAAATGTATGTTTTTTTTTTCTTTTTTCTTGTTTTTCCTGTTCTTTTTTTCCTCGGGGTATGAGTCTGAAAATGACAGGATATGTTTTTCTTGCTTGCGCTCTCTCCGGCTTTGCAACCAAGGGTTAGTCCAGAAATAGGATATAATTCGATTGTATGTTGTTTTTTTTGTGGGGGGGGGGGGGGGGCTCGGTTTGACACATACCATACGTAAAGGTGCGGTCTGTTGGGGATTCGGGGTGATAGAGTGGTTTGTTGTGTTTCCCGATCTTGCGGATTGGGTTGAAAAATAAAGTTGTTTGGAAGTAAGAACTGATTCAATGCACAACCATATGTTGGCATGTTGTTGCATTTTAAGTGTTGGGTTGAAGAAGTGAGTGATAACCAAACAGCTTGCGGGTTGCCAAGGCTGCAACATCTGTGGTTTCCAAATTGCACAAGTTGTTCAGGAGGCCAGCGCTGCCTGCCATACTCTACTGACTAGCAACTCTAGATCCTGGTAGACTTTCGAAGTGTCAGTTCGTGAGTGGAGCCAAACAACTTGCTGGTGCTCAGAAGGGAATGAGACATGGAATCGCCATTATAAACCATCCAACTGGTAGTTTTCTTTAAGGGGATCGATTCCTGGGTTCATTCCCACATCCCCTGCTTGTCGCACCAGCCAAAAAAAGTCTGGACTCGTTCTTTGCCACAAACATGCGCTCGTCCGCCCAAAACGTAAGCCCAGACTTGGGAGAAGTGAGACTCTGAGATGTGCAAAATATTAGCCATTCCCATGACCCCCACAATCCTTTTGTGTTGCTTTTGCATATGGAGCTGGCCCTTGACCTGGTTGTTTCATGTTGACCCCATATTTTTCTCAACCCCTGTTTCTAAATGTCTGGTCCCGGCATCTCTGGTTTCTACTGGGGATTCAGACCACTTTTGGAGGGGAAACACCCCATGAATAAACAGGGGTTGACTAATCTGGGCTCAACCATACCCCAAACCAGGGAAATCCCCTCGTTCTTGCTCTTCCAACAGTACACCTGGCTCGGTTTCGATTGGGGATTCAGGCATGGCCAACAATGCCCTAAACCAGGTGTTTTCGTGGGCAACACATTTTCTTTTTAAGGAGCAAACTGCCGAACCTCCCTGGGCCAAATGGATCCCGACCGCCGCGAACGTCGCCCAACGTCTCCGCCAGGCGGCTCCTGGGGAAGCTCCGCCGGGAGGCCTCGACGAGACCCAAGGCCGTGCCCAGAGATCGGCACGCCACGTGCAGGACGAAGGGCTCGAAGCGCGCCCAGACCACCTGGACGGGTTTGTGCTGTTCGAAACTTCCGTTTGCGTTTGCGCCACCCGGAAAAATAAAGACAGATTTCCTGTAGGGATTGATTCCTTTTAAAACCAACAGTCTTTTTTTAAACTTAAACAAATGGAAGTAAACGAAGCCTCGAGGTCTTGGGGCCTTCTTTGAAGTGGGGGTTCATCTGGGATCCCACAGGATCAGCTCAACCATCAAGGCTCCCCTCTTTACAAAGAAATTCGGAGACCGGGGCCCAGCTCCCTAACCACCCAACGGATTTTGGCTGGAGGGTTGGTTGCTGCTGGTTGGCCCCTTCCTTTGCTGGTTCTCAGTAAGGAAGGGAATGAACCCAGGGATTCCCTTTAAGGAAACAAAATCGGGGATGGTTTGTAGGGGTCATTCCCTAAGCCAAATGGAAGACTGGCATCAAGCGTTTTAACCATGTTTGGAGTTGTTTGGAGTTGGTTCCCCCGCACTGTTGTATGACACGTTTCAGGATGAAAAGGGACATTTGGAATGCACTGCATGGTTGAGTAAATGATTGCTAGACACAATGCTAATCAATTTGGGTTTGTTTCACCCTTGGTATCATTTGGTATGGATAATCATGAGCGATCCCTGAAAAATCATCAGTCCACTCAGCATTCTGAGCACTCCTTCACTTTTGTGAAGCAGCCCCTGCGGGAAACGCGAGGCACCGTGGACAGCTCATCCAGCGGGCCTGTGTGCTTGACAACAGCCCATGCAAAACCTGTCAGACAGCTCGTAGACATCTTTGTAAACCCGCCCCGGGCCCCAAACTTTGATCGGCCTTTCCAAAAGGTGACGTTGGAATATCCCTCGTAATGGCTCGGAGGTTTGGATTTGAATTTGACCCCCTGGTTCTTGTAGAGGGTAATCGGGAAACCATCCCGAACCGCCAATCCAAAGCACCAACTAGGAGCTGAAATATGAGGAGTTATCAGGCGCCAAATCTCTCGCAGATGGCGAATCAATCAAACAGGGCGCCAGGCTGCATTTTGGTCAGGTTTGTTCTGGTTCAGTGTTTGTACCAAGTTTTACGGAATTCGGCAATTCCATTTTAGCCCTTGCATTGCTCCACGTTGGTCTTGGTGTAGTATTTGTAGGTTTGAGCTCTTGGCAATACTTTTTGGGTCTGGTGAGGTATTTGGATCAAGTTTCATTGACTTTTTGCAAGTTAATTTCAGTATTTGGCAATACTACTTTAGAACTTTCGGGGGAGCCTCAGGGCGGGCCTTTTCAATACCATGGCGAACCACATAACATGGGCTGGGCACTCATGTGGGGTACCGCACATGTGACCGTCTCAAACCACCACTCTTTATACATACAGGATTTAATAGAGTCACTGCATTTTCAGAAAGCAATATGGTTGGATTTCCTATTGGCTGATGTTTGTGTTGGCTTGGCACTGCTTGGCACTGCCTATGGAACAGACACGGAGCGACTGCATGGATGGGATTGGGCTGGAGTGTTGCTTTTTAACTTGTTTTGTAAATTTGGAATCTACCAAACTTGAAGCACAAGCTTGCTCCTTGAGTAACCTGGGTGACCCTTCTGAAACTCCGTGGCCTGAACCAGGGGTAAAGCTGGATTTCCAATGTACTGGCGTCGATGGGAAAAATGCCACTTTTGAAGGTTCCGAAACGGTAAATGTGGAGGAATCCCTTGATGAATGCTGCTGGGTTCCATCGAAATTGTCACTTTTGCATCCAAGGGAAATGGCTCGGAACCCATAGGTGATCCTTCCGAGAACTCCGCCTTTCAGAATCCCCTTGCACAAGGCACCTCGTCGGGCGCGGGGATCTCAGCACCATTTCTCCTTGGCAACCAGTGCTTATGAAAGGAAGCCACACATGACAGTGCCTCTTTTCCCATCTGAAACCTATGGGGCCTCTGCCAAATTCTTGGTTGACGTTGGAAGCGGAGCAAAAACTTAAATTATAGCAGTTGAGTGGTTGGATTTCCACCACTAAACCACAATAAGCAACAATGTAAAATGTTTCCCAACAACAACCAAGAAATAGGCGCAAAAGGGGTCAACCAACACAACAGCAATTGAAAAGGCAGCATGCAAGCCATTCCCCACAACCAGAAGCTGATGAGACCCCTCAGTTCATGTCGCTGAAACTTGGCAAGCCCGTGCGATCTCAAATTGACCGATGTTGCCTTCCAAGCAAGGGCTACAAGTTGGAAAAGAGACTCGCAAATAGAACTTTCCGCTGCAATTTCATTTAGGGCTTGCCCTTCAATTCCCCGCTGTCGGGGGGAGTCGAATTTGAGGGGTCATCGTCACCCCAAGGCCTTGAAACAACCACCAGGTTCCATTGTTGGTTTTAAAGGGAATCTATCACTACTCATATCCCAGATCGATTCGCCGATATCCCCGCTGCCTTAAGGGGGAGGGGGATGGTCCCCAATCAACCAGCATCCGTTTCTCTCGTATTCCAACAAAAACGGAACATGAAACCAACAATTTTATTCGAGATCTCCAGGGCTCACCCCCCTCCCGCAAAATCCGCCCATTTTTTAGTTGGGGATCCGGCCTCGATCCCTTCGATCCCTTCGCCTCGATCCATTCGCTTCGGTCGACACGTCGATCCGTCGGGCGTCAGGTGGCGTTCTGGATCCCACTCCTCCACGTCATGGACCACGTGGAAGCGCCAGGTCTCAGGCGCCACACACTTCCGCGGCACCCGCCGCGGAAGCGACGGAGCGGCTCCGGCTCCTTGTTGGATCCCCCAAGGGCCCCGCGGGAAAAAACAAAAACAAACTGAGATGGATGGGTTGTTCTCAATATGATGTCAAGATTTATTGACTGCGTCTGAAGTCTAAAGCCGGGAAATGGCTGCTTCCCTTTAATCTGCTACTGGGTGACTTTGATCATGGGAAAATCATGGGGCCAGTCAATTAGTGAAGGATAGATAGAATGCAAACATGAACTCAAAAGAGACACCAACAACTCAAAGTGCAACCACCATCGACCAGGGGAAACAATCTGAGAAGATGGATGTGCTGGGACTCACCCCATATGGGCTTGGCACGGCATTTGGAACCTACCGACTTGGGTGTGCTATTTGTTCTAGGGGGTAGCCCCCACCCCAACTTGTTTATTTGGTTTTCCCTTTAAAACCGCAACAACCAGGAGCACCGAGCCGAGGAAGAAAAAAACAAAAAACGCGCCTCCCCACCCACACCTCGGCTTTTTTCTCGCCATCGCGGCGCCCTCGCCCTTTCCGCCCCTCCCGGCGAAAGCGCCAGCGCCTCGTCCCCCGCCCTCGGCTCCTCGAGCCGGCGTCGGGAGATCCGCCGCGCTGGGGGTCCAGAGATACGCCCGGCCGCTGCAGGAGCTCAGGGTGCAGAACTCCTCACCGACTGGCCGTCCAGCCGTCCGGCTGAGCGAGTCAAACGAGTGCGGATTCTTGGGGCCTTCTTGGGGTTACCAGGCGAGGAACAAAAGCTAAGCCACATATTTTCTTGGGGTTTTTTGAGTGAAACAAAAGGAAAGCCCACATTTTTCCGGGGGGGCGTAAGGGGGAACAAACGCCAAGCCGCCGACTGTAGCCGATTTTAGCCAGACCCAGAAACTGATCCAGGTTTGGACCCTCAGGAAAAATGGAACCGTCCGTTCCTTCTTGGTTTTACTTGGAGCCACGGCCCGACGCTGAACACCATGTTAGGTGGCGAATCATTCGTCTGGTTCTGGCTGAGTGGATGGCCCAGAACAAGTCCAAACTTTATATTTACCACTAAAATGGTCTTCCCAAAAAGTCCAAAGTTCATGAACTCAGGAAGTGAGGGAAGTGACTTCTTGGACTCATCTTTTTGGAAATTCAGAGTAAGATGCCCATGCAGGTTGATACCCCTGGTTGAGAAAAATGGGGTGCGCACCATTTGAAGAGGGCATGCGGACCACTTCGGGGCCTGCCTTGTAATCAAGCCGGCAGGTTCTGCTTTTATCAGACGAATCTACCCCATCCAAACAACCCGCCTTTGGATTGCCAGGTTTCATCCCGGGCCATTTCCCCACCCCCCGTAGACTCCAGATGGCGCCTGTTTTGTGTGTAGCTGTCAAAGGGCCGCATCCTAAAACAAGGTCTGGGTCCAAAATACATTGGAGCGCCACCGAACAAAATCCGTCTCGGGAACGGAACACATGCACACATGTTGCAGGGCTCCCTATATTTCCCCTTAGGGATCCTTACATTATGCACCTGAACATTGCCTTGTAAATGGCGGTTTGCCTTCTTTTTGGGGCAAAATGTATCTTTTAAGGACCTGTTAAAACATCAACCCCCAAGGGAGACTTTTGGGCAAAGAGAAAAGGGGGCAAAAATAGGTACCCAGAATGGAACCTTGAATGGAACCCCTGGTAAATGGAAACGTGGACCAAAACCTGCGGTTTTCTGGTGGTTTCAAATTGGACCCGACCCCATCTAGGAATCGACCCCCCCCCCCCTCCCCCCCTCGCATTTTTCTCCCCCATTGCCGGCCGGCCGCTTTCTCTTTTTGCATGCTTGGCGCCTCGAGGGAGTTGATGCGGGCCAGCAGCTGGGCGATGGGCGAGTCCCAGCTGCCCTTGGAACTCTTGTCCTTCGCCAGCAGCTCGCGCTTCCTCGGCGTCGGACTCGAGACCCCAACTCGGCTCGGACTTCGGATCGGGATTTGGTGGGATTCGGTGGGGGGCACTTCCGATTCCCAGTCGGCGGAATGGGGGCCGGGGCGCTCGAGGTTTGTTTGTTTTTTTTGGGGGGGGGGTTGGTGTCTCACGTTGCAACCAGCCAGCGTAGACCGAGCGATTGCTTTGAGGCGTGAGTTTTTTTTGTTGCTTTAACCCCTTGAGGCCTGGGCTGATCCTGCTCTTGAGGAGCCTCCCCCCCATAATCCACAGGCCATAGGCTTGCAGAGGTCCATGAGTAGAACCAAGCCTCTTCTTTGATTTGAGGGAAAGACACGGAATTCCTGTCGCAGGACAAGGCGATGTCATGAGAAACAAAGCGCTGCGCGAGCCGAGCTGCTCCTGGGGAAAGCACCGCCACAAGTCCTCCGGGTCCCGCAACACTGCCTCGCCAAATGGGTTGAAAGGGCGCTGACCAAGTCTTCCATTCTTGGTTGACGTTGGAAGGGGAGCAACATCTAAAATGAATAGCAGTTAAGTGGTTGGATTTCCACCACTAAACCACAATAAGCAAAAATGTAAAATGCTTCCCAACAACAACCAATCATTTGCGTTGTCGCCCGGAAAAAATGAGCAAATATTTCCAGTAGTGATCCATTCCTTTCAAAACCAACAGGGAAAATAAACAGTATTCTTAAACAAATGGAAGAAGTGCGTTGACTGCAGTAAAGTCGACATGTGGTGTTGACGGGTGCTCTGGGAATGTGGTTGAATGCACCCAGGAATTTGTCCCCTTACAGGAAACCACCAGTTGGATGGTTTTCTTGGGGGTCTTTCCCTCATTCCCCACTGAGCACCAGCGAGCTTTTGGTCTTCCCATAAGAAAGTGCAGAGACTTGGAAAGTGAGACGAGAGGATTTGCATTGCTTCCGACGGTCAAAGTGATGTCCCACCTCGGAGAGGTGAAAAAAAACACAAAAAACGGGCCTCTGCTGCTGGAAATCTGACAAAGAAAAAGGTGAACTGGCCCCTCCAAAAAAGGGAAGCCAAATGAGCCGTCTTGTTTGGCCCATGGTTATGGTTCCCTCAACGGGAATCAGTACTTACCCCAGGTGGATGACCATCCCTGTTAACCCTTTTGTCCATGGCAATGCAATCGAAAGACTCCACCTGCTTCGCAGCAAGTCATTTGGTCGCCCAAATGCTGTTTGAGCTCGAAAGCGAAAAGGAAGAGCGCCCAAACGTGCAGTTTCAAAAAGAAAAGCTAAGTCCGGCAATGGAAGCAGTTTGCTACCTTACCTTTTCTGTCTCGTTCAGAGTGATTCAGGCAGAAAATAAAAGGAAACACACCTTTTTTTTGGGGGTTCCCACCCCTTGGCCTTTGCCAATTCTTGAGACACGAACACATTCACCTTCTGGACAGAACTGCCCAAGTCAGCGCCATGTTATGTGTGGCGAGGTTACCCTGCATTGATCGCAGACCACCCGCGAAGATACACACACCATCAAAACTTGCCCGCATGGGACGCAACATCATTTCAATGAAACTATGTCGCAAACAAATCCATCAATTTGCAAGACAACATGAAACGCAAGTCGCTGCACAGCAAAACACATATTTATTCGGCCTCGAAAAGGGGAATCCGGATGAGACCCCCGGACGAGACCTCTCGCACACGGTGGGCCAACCCCACGCATGTGCCGGATGCCCCATTCGAACACCATCCACGCGACACCCCGCACCCAATTGCCATAGACCCAACTCTCAAATCTCAACGGCAAGCGCAAGCAAACCCCAATGATACACAAACTTCGGCGTGCTTTATTGTAAGGTTTATGGCTTATAAGTAAAAGTCATCCATCTCTTGAAATGTTGCTATTACTTCATCTGTTTCACTTTCAGCATCACATGTCTTCATTGAACAGCACTTCATCTAACTTATCTGCTGTTTCCATTCCGAAACTTTAGGGTACCCGAAGGCGAAGCCGCTCCGAAAGGCGCCCGGAAAAGCTCCCTTCCTGCTCAGACCAAAGGATCTGTACCATCTAGGCTGGAAAAAAGGGACCCCAGCAACAACTTATCTTTTTGCCTGGTTAGTGGAAAACAAAATAAAACCCCCAACCCCCCCCCCCCAAAAAAAAAAAGGAGCTACTTCTGGGGAAGCCATGGCTTTCGCTCGCTTTACCCCCGCGGATCGGGCCTTCGTCTTGGAGAGGCGCCGCGCCGCGGCGCGGACGCCAACGACGCTCATGGCGCGCTGGCGCTTCAGCGCGGGCTTCGGCGCGCTTGGGTTTCAGGTCCCAAAAAAGGCCAAAGGGTGCCCCCCACTCCAAATACCCTCGTTTTTGAGGGTATCATGTCGCCTCTACGAAAAAAAGAGGGTATTAATAATCATGGAAAACCAGGTTTTCTGCAAATAACGGGTAGGAAATCCCCGAAAAAAACACGGCCCTTGTGATTTGCTCGTGTTGAATGCCCCAGTTTTCGTCAATTTTGTGGATTGCTCATGTTGAAAAAAGCAGCCCGGATGTTTGTTTTCTTGGGTGTGTGTGTGTGTGTGCGATGAAACCATGGCCACGTTTTGCTTGCGTTGTGCTGCTTGCTGTCAGGTGCCAGCGCTTTGCTTGCTTGCCCAGCTGTGCCGATTGCTTTCAAAGCTGGGGGCGAAATGAGCAAGCGACGAAGGGTGGGAGGTAGGCTATGAATTTGCACAAGGACACCAGCTGGACAACTGGGTTTCCAAATGCAAAAAGGTTCGTCCCTCAAAACTTGATGTGCCGGTGTTGGGTGGTGAGTGGTGGCTGTTCGCTTCATGCCTGATCAGGACAAGGGCGTCACGACTGTGTTTTTGTTTGCCACCTGGTTTTGTCTCGTGACACCCTCTTAGAAAATAGGATGATTGCATATAGGTATTCACAAAACAAAAAGTATCTCGCTCTCCATATTCGTACACGTACGTACATATGTCGGTCTTTCTCTGTCTGTCACTGTGTGTGTGTATGCGTGTGAATGTAACGTAATGCAATGCAACGCATTGTGTCAGAATGTATGGATGCATGCATCTGTATGCTGCATGTGCCCTCAATTCTGCAAAAGTCACCTTCGATAAATTAAAGTACCTGGGCCTTGATTTGTGTGGTCACCTTGGCCCCTGACTCTGACGCGTAACAGGCGGAAGCCCACGCTGCAGTGGATATGATGTGTGATTGGGAGAAAGGTGGACGGTGGTGTAGCCTCCTGCGGCTTGCCATTCCTTGCATCCAGGGGGATTAAAGAGAAAATAATCTCATTCGGCTTTAACGAACCCGACTATTTTTACCTTAGCGCTGATTCATGACCAATTTCTCTTTCACTAGACCCTGGGGCCCGGCCAGACCGCTCGCCGCTTTTCACGCTTGCGAAGCTCAGAGGCTTGGCTCACTAGAGCTCATTCTGGGCCTGGGAGTGGGGGGCCACAGGCCACGGGTACCAAACGCCGCACACCGGGTACGTGGGGAGGTCATTTTCTCGGGAGAGGTGCTTCCGGGAAACAGTGTGACCCACTGGGAGGAAGCCTTTGGTAGTTTGTCTGCTGCTTGTGTTGCTTCTTGCCTTTTGGCAGGCAGCTTCGGCTTTGATATTTGTCTTTCGTTGCTCGGATTTTGTTGGGTCCTGGCAGGGCGGAACCAAACACTGCGAATAACCAGCCGGTTCGATGTTGATTAGAAGGCTCCCCAACAACTCCGCCCCTCGCAAAGTGTACAACGAGCGCAAATTCAACACGTGGCAAGGGACATGTTCCTCACCAGCATGGTTGCTGACGCGCCGAGCGATTTTTGGTTGAATCGAGCCATATTTTTTGGAACAAGCTGAAAAGCAAGCAGAAGTATGTCTTAGCAATAAATCATGTATCAATGGAGGCCGCAGGATTGTTATAGACCCTCCAAGGCAATCTATCTATCTATCTATCTATGTACATGGCACTATAGATGTGCACACACATACTCCTCTACATATGTCCCAATATATAGACATATACATCCATACAAATCAATACATGTGCATATCTATATCTCAAAGGAACGATGGCCAAGTCCTCTGAGCCTCTGAGCTTCCTGCAAGCCATAAATCCCACGGATGCGCTCGTCCGCCTGGTCAGCGCTCCGGGAAAAGGTCTGACGCTTCGAATCTGGCGCACGCCCAGCGGTAGGTGAGCTTTTGGCCGAAAATGGATTCGAAGCCCAGCTAAACCAGAGGCCACGTGAAAAAACAAAGGAGAAAACAGGGCAAGAAGAGGGTGGAATCCAATGGGTTTCCAACTCACCCGGCCCGGATGATCGTTTCAGCATCTGTTTGCCATCCCTTCGAGCGGATCCCCTGAGCTCACGAAATGCGACGGCAAGATGCGTCCCCGAAAGCCACGCGGCCGGTGAAATCCCGCGATTCCAACATGGCCTTGCATCACCAATATTGATGCGGCACTGGACCAGGGCTGTGGGGAATGGAATCCCCTTCTGTGATACAACAGAAAGGGCTTCCCAAAGACTAGTTTCTTCATATAAATAAAGGGGGATTCCCAAAAGTATCACAGAAGTGGTTGGAGAAACCCCGAGTGATCCCACAACCCTGTGGAGGAAGTGGTGATTTCCATTGGGTTTTTGGTCACTGCTGTTGAACATTCTCAGCAGGATGTTGGGATTTCTCGAAAAAAAGTTGGCACACACACACACACACACTGAATGAGGGGCGAAGCAGAACCAAAGACTTCCCCACCAACCTCCCAGACCAAACCCCAAAGAACAAAAAGGACCAATAAACCTTATCTAGGGCTCATTTAGCCCAACTTCGCTTTTATTGGTGGCTTCTCCTTTCTTCGGTATGTTCCTTCCGGGGTCTGAAGAGTCTGGTGGTGAAACCTTTGAGAAAAAAAAACAAAAACACATGAGGCCCTCACAGGCCCAAGGCCTGCCTCAGTTTCGTTTGCATTGCCTTCACCAGCTTGCCTTCACCCACGTGCTCGTCTTTCTTTTCCATGTGAATTCGGACTGGTTCCTTTAGGGGAGAGGGGGCCAAGTCATTTGTTGGACAGGTTTTATTCTATGACACAATTTCGAGGGTGTTTTCTCCTCCCATGAATGTCGAAAACAAAAAAACATATCAGCTAACTTGCACCTAAAACACCCTTCTTGGTGGAGCAACAGCCCATCCTGCCCCATTCCCCGCGCCTGTTCCAAGCCCTCCAACGGCAGGGCCACCCGAAAGGGCCTTTTTGGGCGCGCGCCAGAAGCGTTTTCGCCCAAGCCCCATGGGTGTTGTGTCTCCGCTTGTTCGATCGAACGCACCCAGCCAAAAAAAAAAACACGCCCAGGTGTTGCCTTTTTTGGGGTCGAAACCCAGGGAAGCCGAAAAGGGCAAAAGGTCCCAAAAGGTCACCGAAGTCTGGCAATGTGGGGTGCGTGTGTGTGCCCATGAGGTTTGCATCGTGCCGGCCACATCCGGACAAGCAACAGGAGGAGGCCTCATGCCCATTGAGGCTTGAGGACATCCACGGCAGAAATCTCAAAGAGCTTGCATGCACGTGGACGGCTCTACTTGTTCCTTTTTCTATCGGCAACATGGGGTCAAGCCGCAAAATCTGACTTTAGTTCGGTTCCAGGTGCTGTATCTTGACACATCTTGACACATCTTGACAAATGCTGTTGGGGGATGGCCCATTTTTGTGAGGAAGTCAACGTGCAGACATTTTGACACCTTCCGCAAGAACCGGGGGGGAATGGCTGTTGAGAAGTCTGAGGTTCCATGCAATATGGCATCGGCTTTCCTCAAATGGTTTCCCTTCAAAACCACCCCAATTTTTTGGGGTACCAGCTAAAAGAACACTGACGAGCCATGCTTCTGAAAAGCCATGACCTTGAGGCTTCCAACTCAGTTGCCAAATAGAAGGTTAACCTTTTGGGACCTTTTGGGACTAAACATGGGCCAAAACGAGAAAACCAAAAGGTCAGATCCGGTCGATTCGCTTTGGTTGCAACCGAGCCAATGCTTCCTGGGTTGGCTTGTGCCCTTTAGAGCCCCAAGCTGCGCCAGGTACAGCTGGCTCCAACTGGCGCCAACCTTTCCCGGGGTCAAAGGAGTCCGACCGCAGCGAGGACAAATCAGCTCTCCTCGAATTTGTGGTTTGGAGGTTAGTTCTATCCGGGGGTTCAACTCATGGCCTTCTGGTAAAATAGATGGCCCTGGTAATGCTTACAACCAAGGAATGTGGGCAGCACAGCGTATCATATCCTGTTATTTCAGGGTGGCAGACTTGTGCTTGGAGTCATGTACTTCTGGACCTGAAGGGTGGTTATTATCCTATGAAAAATGCCCTTCTTTGGTTTGCAACGACCCGATGGCGCGATCCCTATTTTACCCAAACGCATTTGAGTCGCAATCAAAACATGGTACTAAAATGGTCTGCAGCTATTTATCGTTGGGATCGTCCCGTACTCACCTTCATCTACCCGGGTTTTGAGCACGTGGCTCATTTCGCCCCCTTTCGCCCAATTTCGGGCTCCCCGGCGCTCCGCCCAGTCGCACGATGATGGTGAGACAACCTGTCAAGGGCAAAACGGGCAGCAGGCCGCGAGTTGCAACCAACAAATGCTTCCATCAAAGTACTCTTCCATTTGCGTTTTCGCCCCCGGGGAAAAATACACATATTTCCAGTAGTGATAGATTCCCTTTAAAACCAACAAGGGAAACTAACAAATATATTCTTAAACAAATGGAATGTGGATGGTTGCGAAATCCTCTTCTCGCACCACCTAGAAACCGTGGTTGAAACCATACCGTTTCTTTCATTTGCAGGGGAGGAATAGATGTTGGAAAGGAGGGGCACAGAAGCACATGACAGGGTTTTGTGGCCCCAGTTTCGCATGTCGACTTGGTATACTCGGCATACTTAGCATACCTCTAAAAGAAATCTTGCGCCCGAAGCGCGTGATTTCACGATTTTCTCCAAGAGCGTGCTTGCCCCGGAAGAAGCCAGCCAAGAATAAGTTCCAGGCACATCTGGCGAGTAAAGCGCTCATCTTGCAACAGGTCCAGGAAATGAAACACCCGTTCGATGTCCACTTGGAATCAACGAGCATCTCTAGATTGATCAGAAGTCGTGGCCTCCGTGTTGGGCGTTGAAGGGAAACAAAAGCAACACCACTCATTCTGGGCTCCCCGTCTTTAGGGAACCCCAGGGCAATAGGATTCCCCTGTCTGGATATTCTTGTTTTTTTTCTCCTGCGAAACAGAGCAAAAACGGCAATCAATCCCAAGAACTCCAAAAGGAGTAGTTCAAGGCTTGTTGATGGGATCTTGGATTGAGCTCCCAGGCTTTTTTGGTGGGCTCCCGGATTCTGGTCAGAAACTGAAGCCACTCTTTGGGCCCCAAGCTGGCCTCAAATGGGGTGTTGATGGAAACCCACCTAGGTCCTCCAGTAGAGAGGTTAGAATAAGGGTACCCTTTTTCTGTAGTCTATTTTAGTAGGGGAACCCTCCCCCAAAAAAGGGGAACGAAGGGCACTACTGGGGGACCTAGCCACACTAAACCCTTCAACTCAAAACGCCTGGCACCCACCAAGCTAGATTCTGAGCCACGTGCCATGGTCGCAACTCCATAGTCCCGAAGAGAGAAACAAAAACGGCATGTTGACATGGTTCTAGGGGTACCTTCCCCATTCTTTCCAGGGATCCTTCTTTTTAGAACACCTCCAGAAACCCAGAGTGAACGCCTGTTTTGGAAAAGAACGATGATTGAACAGAATGGGGAATCAACCCCTAGAACGGTGGAGGCCGGTGCAGCTGCAGCTTGTGACTTTTGGATCCGCAGCCTACACTGTCTGCCCGCATGCGGAAACCTCCGACAAAGGCCGGGCCGGACGCATTCAGAAGCTGTACATCTGGAAGCGCCCACTGTGCGTCCTCAGCAGTCGGGATGCCTGGGCAACATGAAAAGAGTCAGCCCGAATTGGTCGCTTGGATTTGTGTTTTGGTGGTTAAGGTGTAGTTTCCCATTTGTCCTCTACAAGAACCAGGAGCCCGTTCAAATCCCCAAACCACCCATCCAAACCGCGAATAAGGGCCAAGTGATTTGTCAGCTTCGTGGCACAAATGGCTTTTGCTCATTTGTCAAGGGTTACCCATTGTTTCCTGACTCGAACCGAGCTGAGTCACCCTGTCTGAACGCTCGGCGACTTGAGGCGCTAGTAGAAGCGCGGGCCCAGGCCGCCCCCGCCGAAACCGCCGCCCCCGAAACCGCCACCTCGGGATACTCACACCAAGTGGGCGGCTTTCCTTTCAATTCCATTAAACCCCGACCATAAGAAATACTGGAAGGGGCATATTACTTAAGCGAGTGGCTAGTAGCCATGGCTATGGTTGCAAGCCAAGCGGGTTCCAACAATGGCTGCTAACCACTTCCCCCTTGCAACTTCACTCGGTTGCTTTCTGCTCCCCTGCTAAAGGTTTAACTTTTAGTGGCTTAATGGAAACCCATTGGTTGGCAAAAAGCTAAAGTCCTAACATCCCTTGGCAAAATGCACCAGAGTTCAGACTGCCCTCAAACAGTCAAACAGTAAAACAAACAAACCCCGTCGGCCAAGCGACCCCGGCCCCGACCGCCAGCCGGGCATATTGCAAGAGGCTCGGCTTCCCTTTTTTTGCCCTCCTCCGGCGTCAGAGTCATGTCCAACAACTAGCTCCAATCAGGGGTTACCCTTTCATGCGGTTGCATGTCTAACTTATCCCGTGGTGGTTTAGGGTTCGATCATCACCCATAAATGCTCCCAGCTTGTTTCAAAGTGCTTCCGCTGGGCGTCAAAGTAAACTACCGTGTCCTTGCAGACCTCCTTGTATCTCCTGGTAGGTCCTGAGCTGCCTGTTTAGAAGCAAATTTGGATACCCCCCAGCTCCTTGCCTTCCTTCCAACCAACAGCTAGTAAAGTCGGCTGTTTTCCGGAACCTGCATCGAAGCCGCCGCCGAAGGGATTCGGCCTTGGCCAAATTGGATGGGAGCAAACGCCAACTTCTGAAGCCGGAAAACCATGCCACGGTGGGGGGTTGAACGGATTTTGTGTGGTTTCACTTAAGGCGATTCCGCAATATCCGAGGTTGACATTCATGGGTCATGAGTCATGAGCCCTATGAAACCACCAAGCTGTCGACAGTTCGGGGTGACACCTGGAACGGAAGCAACCTGTGTAGGACTGCGCCATTTCATCCAATGTTCGGCCTCTGCAGCTCTCATCCGAACACAAGCTCGAATAATAGCTTCAAAGCCCACAAACAATCAAACAAGCAAACAAACAACCAAACCAAACCAAACCAATCCAAACAAACAAACAACCAAACAAACGCACTTGCCGGCAGGGGGAGGTGGGACCAGTGAGGAGCCAAGCGTCCGTCGTCCTCCAAAGCCCGGGGGGTGCAGGTCGTGCGGGCCGCCGATGATCTGTCCGCATGCGCCGTCATTTTTTTTTCGCCCGGAAGGAGCTGGAAATCCCCAAGGCGTCTGGAGGGCGGGGGTAGGGTTTAGGGTTAGGGATTCTTTTGGGACCCGTAAAGCGTCAGAGAGGTATCTCTCACACTTGCCAGACCGGACCCGGAACAAGGTGATCACCTTGGCTTCCGAGCGAGTGGATTGGCCAAACAAAGTCTGTCTACACTTCTTGTGTACCACTGCCATGATCTTCCCCAAAAGAATCAACAGTCCGGGAACTCGGGGAGTGAGACAGGGGAGGGGGGGGGTCCCCCATTCCATTCTTCAGTATAAGCGAACATGGCTCACCAGAATCTGAAGTGCAGGGGGCACCGGGTCACCCTTCTCACCCAAGTCCATTCTGGGTGGGTGGGGGGGGGGGGGAAGGCTCACCATGGGAAGGAACACAAAATCTTTGTGAGGCCAACATGGGTGTTTGTTAGTTCCCCAAGAATGGTGGGCTTTCCCAATGGAAACAAAAAGATGGATGGACGAAAAGCAAGGAAAACGCAAGGTCAGAGGTCGATTTGCTTTGGGCCTGTCATGGGCCCCAAAACGCAATACATAAGCTGTTTTCCTGTAGATGTTTCTTTAACCCAACCCTTTGAGCTGTTTGTGTTTGAACGTTTTCTAATTGCCTTGGTGATTGGGCAAGCGCCTAGGCCTGGGTGAGGGCACCCCCAAATGGGTTGCCCTGGTAAACGGAAACAACTAACATCGGGGATCCATATCCTGGCGGCAAGAAACTGGCCCATACCCCGTTGACCAAACAAGTTGAACTTCCAGCTTGCCTTTCGGTTTGAGTTTCCCAGAACTCCACCCTAGGGAATTCAAGGGGCCCTTCGTTCAGAATCAAGGGGTTTATTGACCCTTGGTCAACCAATTTGGTTAAAAATATCGTGAGCCTGCAAGCTGCTGCTGTTCCAAGTTGGTGCGGATTTGAACCTCTTGACGAGTCTAAGACCCAAAGACCAAAAATGACAGAGCATTTCCAAAACGGGGAGAATGCAGGCGTGCCACATTTTGGGGGGCAAAAAATCGCTGGGTCCCTAGCGGCGTCCACCGGACCCGACCCACTTGGGGCCCCAGGCCAGCGGGCTGCCAGGGAAGCCCCCGGGACCTGAGGGGCAAGTCCCAGATGGCATGGTACGCACACCTCTGTGCAACTCTTCATTTGCTGAAGCCGTTTTCGGGGAAGAAACACATATTTCCAGAGGTGATAGATTAGCTTTCACATCATCAAACATATTCTTGAGCAAATGGAAGATAAGCGACCCTGCCCCTTCCACTGCAAGGTGGTGGAATTTTTGACAGCCCTCCCTTCTTTTGGGCAGCCTTGCAACTGCTTAATCGAACACATGATCTCGTGAAGGTAAACCACGGGTTTTAAAAGCTCCATTCACACCCTCATCACGCATGGTGAGTCAGGGATGCCGAAACACAGGTCGTCGAATAGAGGGGGGGGGGTCCATCTCGGCTGCCCAAAACATGCTCCGAAGAAAAATACAAAATATAAACATATATAATTACCTCCTACGGTTAGTGGACCAAATATTGCACCTCTTGGGATGTATGAAGCCCTAATGCTGGGATAGCCCACCTACTGGGACCGGATTTTGTCCATCAACCGTACCTCAATTACCTCCTTCCAAGGTACGAAGCGATACCTGCAAAGTCGCCCGTGCATAGGATCCCATGTCCATATCTTCCCTGATTTCCCAAAAAACAACGGCCCGCTTGAACACACACTCTTCGGCGTTTTGCTTCGGAAACCCGCGGCCGGGGAGGGTGGGGGGCTTGGGGGTGGAATGGAAGCCCTGAAAATCCTGCAGCCCAGGAGCGGCGGGGATCCATGCGCAGCGGGTCTTCGAAGGCTGGCGCGAGCGGATTCGAGGATCCGAATCCAAGCGCCGAGTTCGGCCCTTGGAACATGTCTGAAAGGGAGCCTCCATGAGTTGAGCATGTCAACTCGCCGCCAACCCGCACATAGGCAGACAGCGAACAAGGGGTGGGGCCCTTTTTGGGGGCCCATCTTAGTTGGAAGGAGGGCGGCATCTGGTCTTCTATGATTTCAAAAGGAACCGTTCACCTTAAAGGAAATGAATCACTGAAGCACCCGACCCCTCGGTCTGCGTTGGTGATAGGTTTAGGGCCACTTTCACGCGTTTCAACAGCAATGCAAACTCCCAAGCCACACGCCCCAAACGACCCCTGTCAGCGCCCCCTGTATTTTGCCTTAAGCATCGCCCACCCAAAGAAAACTCACTTTAAAACGCCCCAAGCTGTCATGGTTTGAACCATTACAAGGGGAAACCTCTGGCATCCTCTGGGTATCTACGAATATCTGCCAGAAAAGAGGAACCCCAAACAGCGGTGGTTGTCCTCTTGGCTTCTTTGCAAACCAACCCACAAAGGAGAAATCAGCTAAAACCCCACCCCCCCCCCCACCCCCCACCCCACCAGCCCACCCCCCCGCCCTTCCCACCCCACCTTCCAAGGCCAACCAATGGGTGTCTGCACGTATCTGCAAAGAACAGGAATTCAAAAAGGGGTAGTTCTCCTCTTGGCTTCCTTGTAAGCCAACCCCACCCCAACCGCCACCCCACCCCACGAAAAGCACCGCGCCTCGCCGCCGCGCGCGCGCCTCCTCCTCCCGCATCCGGCGCTCCAGCTCCGCCTCGCGGCGCAGGCGGTGCACCTAGCGGATGTCGCGGGGCCTGAGCCATAAAAACGGAAGCTGTGGCGGGTCTGTTTTTCTTTTGGGGGGACCGCAAAAATCACGGTGTTCCTTTAGCGTCCCTTTAAAACATACCAAGGAAGCTACCTGTGTGAAGAGTGGGGTGAGGGTGGGGTAGTGTGGGGGGGGGGGGGGCGGCTGCCCCGTCCGCAGTATGGGGAAGCCTTTGCAGGTTAGCTAAAAGGGAAACCTTTCAAAGTTGCGTTCGGGAAGCACCAGTCAGGTGGCTTCTCCAATTCATTCGTGGGGCTTCAAGCTCGCTCGCAGGGATAAAAAGAGCTCACCATGATGAAGGTCACTGGAATACACTGTGCAATGATATGTATACATACATAGGTACATAGATACGTATGCATACAACTGCTGTGGTCGGCGGCAACATCCGTGCCAGGTACCACTTGGGATGGATAAAGCCCTTTAATCCTCGGCATTCTGTCGTTTTGAGTGTACTCCTTTTTGGTTTTAAAGGGACACCAAAGGAAAACTATCATTTCAGTGGGACCCCCGAAAGAAAGACAGACCCACATTTGAAGTTACCAGGAGGTTTCGTGCTTGATGTGGTTGGATAGCAAAGTTCAAGCAAGTCGCCAGTAGCAGCTCCGCTCCAGTCTCTGACCGGCTCCCGATGTCCGAGTCAAATTCTACCGTTGCTGGCCGTGTAGAAGTGTAGAAGGCCTGTCCTGTTGAATGGAAAGCCAAGTCCTTGGAAACTGCCTGACCCCAGGCTTGCACCCTGACTTGTGCTCTGGATGAATCTGGCCAACGCTCAACCCTAAATTTGGGATCAAACATGATCAAACTCTTTTCTTTGGGTGTTTGCGAAAGGAGCCAACCACTTGAGGACTTTCCTGGAACTCCGAGGTACCACGACACAAAGTGCTTTCCCATAAGCCCACTTCAACAGCGACGAGACCCGCCCACCCCAGCAAGGCCTTGGTGGCATTTTCAGGGAGAAAAGGCATGGCTAAAACGGACTAAAATGGGTGGTGCACCTATCCCAAGATGGTACCATTGGTTTTGAACCATGGCCAAAAGGGTTGACTTTTTCCAGTGGAACTCTGCCCTGAAAGGCCCAGGGGATCGGCGGTCGCCCGGTCGCCCCGGCCTCCGTCCGCACCATGATCTTATATGCTCCGTTGGGCACCACCTGCGCGAGACGTGCCAAACAAAAACCGGTCCAAAGGGCCGGGCCCCCGAAAAACACGTGCCTTCCCCAGTCGAAGCCCGTGCAGATTCACGGGGTGAGGGTGTGGCTCAAAATTAATGACCTATGAATTCTGTTTCATGTTTGTCTATGGGCGTGGCTCCAAATTACACAGCAAACTGCGGGTTTTCGTGTTTTCCATGTACCCACGTGCCATTTTGGGCCCCATTTTGAGCCAAAGCCATGTTGACACCGGTCTGTTTTAACTACACCTGGTTAATGAATTGGAGGGGGTGTCCCAAAGGGGGTGGTATCCCCCAGAGAAGGAAACGGGTTGGTTCAACTTGTTGTTGTTCTTCTTGTTGTTTTTTGGGGGGGACCCCAGAAATTAGTGTTTTCCTTCTGTGGGGGGTTTCCTCACAAAAGGACAAGCCCATATATATATATATATATATTTGCCCTTGACTAAAACGAAGGTAGAAAAGATTCAACTCCTGCTTGGTTGCGGTTGCCTCCTCTGCAAAAAGTTTGACTTTTGTGGGTTTAAAAACCAAAAGTTAAATGTGTACAAACCCGATAGCATGCAGCCCCATCGAACTACTTTTTAGAAAATAACAACTGGGGAGATCTGGGGGTCCGATTGCTTTCCCACGGGCAACCCCTTTAGCGAAGAGCCCTCTTTTCAGGTTGCCCATGTTGCAATACATCTCGGATTTCCCTGGAAGTCCTGACTGAAACACATTTGGGTTGGCACACTATCTTGTCCAAACTTGTTATTTGCCGCTAAATAATCCAAGCCCAAAAAGTCATGGGGAAAAAATGTACCCCTTTTTGCTTGGTTGAGTTTAAAGGGGAACCCGTACCCCAAAAAAAGGAAGAAAAAAAGGCCACCACGCCTCAAGGCCTCAAACACGGCCGCGACGGCGAACAAACGCTTTCCGTAGCACCTCGCCGTTCTCCTCACGCTGCTTGAGAGACGCCAGCTCATCTTGCACTTGCCTGGAGGGTAGCGTCATCACCACCCGCAGCCATACCAAATCCTTGGCTCCGGCTCCATTTCTGCCCCCCGCTTTGCGGCAAGGGAGGCAGCTTGCTTGCCTCTTTTTCAGGGGACCCGCCCAAATGGTGGGCTTTCCTTTGGGTTTCCCTCAGCCGCTCCCCACAAAAAAACAAACCCACGACAAGGCAGCCAGGAAACTCCGTGCGCACCCCATTGGCCCAGAGAAGCCAACCGGCTCCGCACCCCAAACACGCGACCAAAAGCAAGGCATTACCAACACCCCTTCAAACCTTAAAGCGGCAGGCGAGGAAATGCCTCAATTCATGCCCTGTGACATGCGTTGCACATGGGGTCCCAGCCACAAAGCATTATCCCCCCAGAGGAAACCCACATACAACGTGGTTCAAATCAAAGGGGAACCATCCAACAAACATGGAAGTGAAAAGAAGGGTTTGCTCTAGGATTGGTGTTTGAGAGTGTCCCTGTACATGCTCCCACCCCGACAATTTTTATGGATTGCCATGTCAAGGGATGAGAACCCATTTCACTTCTCATCATGTGTCCAATTAAAGCCAAACAAAAACACGTAGGGGCGCATGTTCCCCTTCATTGTCTCATGCTTCCCTGATGCATTTGGGGGAGGCAGTTGTGCAGAGTTTTCAACGTCAAAGGGCCCCCCCTCCCTTACCAGAAGTCCAAAATGGGCCTTCTGCAAGAAGCTTCGCCTTGGCTGATTGAAACCGGGCGTCAAGAAAAGCCACAAAGGACCAACGTAGCCAGTGAGAGCGAGGGTACTTTTGGTCCCTAAATGAGTAGAATGCAAACTTAGTCAAGCTCAAACATCAATCCCCCTTTGAGCAGGGCTTAACCACCTGCTCTGGTAATCTTCCGATTTTTGATCCCCCCCCCCCCGCCCCCAAACACCCAAACACACCCAAACAACCTGACAATAGTAACCCCCACCCCCCAAACAACCTGAAAATAGCCATAAAAACCCAAGGAACCTAAGTGGCTGGGGTTCCCACCCAGCCACCCCCAACCCCCCCACCCCCCCCCCCCCCTTCCCCCTTCGAGGCGAACAAGGCGCGTCCTCCAGCACTGAGGTTGCCATACCGCGGCAGGTGGCTCCCAAGGCCGCCATCGCCTCAGCTCCCCACCCCGCCCCCCGCCAGGACGGACAAGGGCGTTCACCGTGGTTTCTGAGGCTATGTGTTTTCAGGATGCCACTTTTCTGGGGGGGAATTGTACTCTTCTTATGTTTTAGGAGATGTTTGCCTTTTTCGGCTACGTTTACTTTTCTTATGTTCTATGATATGTTTGAGGATGATTGGTTGTTTTGCGCAAGCCATTTCCAGGCAGCCATTTTCTTGGAGTGTACTGGGCGGCCCTCAGATCTCCTGCTAAAAGTTGAACTTGTGGGTTCAAGTGAAAGTACAGCCAACCCTAACCTAAAAAGCTAAGGAACCGGATGGCTGGGAGCCACCAAGCAAATGGGGTACCCTTTGGTGGACACCATTTCGGTGATTCATGTTCACCAATCACTTTGGTTACCTTTGTGAGTGCGGCTCAGCAAAATGGTGCCCGAAATGGCACATTGGTAGGTGGAACCAAGACATACCAAGACTGACACCTGCGCAACCCAGCCATTTCCAGGGAGCCAGTGGCGTGTACTCTCCCCTTCTTGGACCGTTTTGCTTGGAAACCAAAAAGGGGTACCCCGAAGAAAAAAAGGCTCATGTAGGAAGCACCCCTTTGAGGGGTTTGGGGTTCCAGCGCCATTTTCCAAGTGCCACCGGGCACATTGTGCCATGCAAAGCGCTTGTCTTAACCCCTGCAACCCAGCCGCGGGCATGGACAGGCAGCAGATCGAGCCGAAGAGCGCCTTTTGTGTGGATGTTAGAGGGGCCAGGGATCTGGGTGAATCATTTCACCAGCCTGATTTTGTTCGGTTGTTGGGGGGCTATTCCCCACATAAACCACCATTTGGGGTGAATTCGGTCGTGTGAGGTCGTTATAATCCACCCAGAAGGATAAGCAGTGCATCCCTTGCTATGGAACTGCAAAGGCATGTTGCAGACCCCCAGCAAAAATGAACCACAACACCAGAAAAGCAACAAACGACCTGATCCAACAGTGAAGTGAGCCAAGGAAGGCGCCAGGGCTTAGTCTCCAAGAGTTGCAGACCGCCCTTCCTGGGTTCATGAAAAGGCGGCACCTTCCGCCCTTTTCTGCGCCTTTCATCGTTGACCCGTTCCTTTGGGCTCGGGCCGGGCGGTCTTGACTGGCCAGCGGGCCGATTTTTGTTGCCCGAGGGGGAAGAGGAAAAAAACCCAGCCGGGAGATGGGTGTGAGAATCTCGGTAAGTGTCTCCGTCTGTCAGGGGTGCCCTGGGATTCCTCTTCGTGTTGCAATTGACTGGTGGTTCTCCCACTTTTGGAGGTTCCGACAAGGGAATTCGGGAAAGTCTGTGTGTAGTTACCCTCTGGTCTGATTATTTGAAATGGCTCGCCTGGCCTCCGGCGGTGTTGAAGTGAGCGTCGGCAGGTTCTGGCGGTAGAGCAGCGGGTAGAGCCTGATCAATCACTGCTCTCGCTTACCAAGCGTCGTGATGCATAAAAGTATACATGTGTGTATATACAGGCCATTTAAAGGGTTTGCCAGGGTTGTTTCACAGACTGGGGAGGGGAGGCAGAAGGACAGGTTTCAAATTAGCTGCTTTGCCAGCTTGTGTAATGTTTAGTCGCATCCTTTAGGGAACAATGTGAAAGCAGGGCAAGTCAACTTGGAATGGGTGGCTGCTGAAATACCGGAATGCCTGCGCCAAATCGCGTTGAGGAACCCGAAAATTGCGAAGTCCCTAACCTTCAGCCCGGAATCAAGAAAGGCCCCAAGCGAACATTCTCAGTGAACTTAGGTTTTGGGGCTGGTTTAGTTGAGGATGTGACTTTAAGGGACCCAAAGGATCCCATCATGTCCTTACAGACCTCCTGGTAGCTCCAATTTTGGGCTCCTTCGTTCAAAGGCAATTTTGGAGACCGAGATAACCCCAGCTCCCTGACGGCTCTGTGCCAGCCACCGATGCATCCCAGCATGCGACCCAACTCCAAAGACTTCGACTTAAGCGGGCGGACTGAAATGGGACATCCAACAAAAAGTGACTAAAGTGACTACCTCTTAGCGTGTTAACTGGACATCCAACCAACAAACACCAAACAGTGACTACCTCTTAGCGTGTTAACTGGACATCCAACCAACAAACACCAAACAGTGACTACCTCTTAGCGTGTTAACTGGACATCCAACCAACAAACACCAAACAGTGACTACCTCTTAGCGTGTTAACTGGACATCCAACCAACAAACACCAAACAGTGACAACCTCTTAGCGTGTTAACTGGACATCCAACCAACAACACCAAACAGTGACTACCTCTTCGCGTGTTAACTGGACATCCAACCAACAAACACCAAACAGTGACTACCTCTTAGCGTGTTAACTGGACATCCAACCAACAAACACCAAACAGTGACTACCTCTTAGCGTGTTAACTGGACATCCAACCAACAAACACCAAACAGTGACTACCTCTTAGGCGTGTTAACTGGACATCCAACCAACAAACACCAAACAGTGACTAACTCTTAGCGTGTTAACTGACATCCAACCAACAAACACCAAACAGTGACTACCTTTAGCGTGTTAACTGGACATCCAACCAACAAACACCAAACAGTGACTAACTCTTAGCGTGTTAACTGGACATCCAACCAACAAACACCAAACAGTGACTACCTCTTAGCGTGTTAACTGGACATCCAACCAACAAACACCAAAGTGACTAGTGTTACTGGACATCCAACCACTAAAAACACCAAACAGTGACTACCTTTTAGCGTGTTAACTGGACATCCAACCAACAAACACCAAACAGTGACTACCTTTTAGCGTGTTAACTGGACATCCAACCAACAAACACCAAACAGTGACTACCTCTTAGCGTGTTAACTGGACATCCAACCAACAAACACCAAACAGTGACTACCTTTTAGCGTGTTAACTGGACATCCAACCAACAAACACCAAACAGTGACTAACTCTTAGCGTGTTAACTGGACATCCAACCAACAAACACCAAACAGTGACTACCTTTTAGCGTGGTAACTGGACATCCAACCAACAAACACCAAACAGTGACTACCTTTTAGCGTGTTAACTGGACATACAACCAACAAACACCAAACAGCGACTAACTCTTAGCGCGTGCAATGGACATCCAACCAACAAACACCAAACAGTGATTAACTTTTAGTGCGTGCAATGGACATCCAACCAACAAACACCAAACAGTGACTAACTTTTAGTGCGTGCAATGGACATAGACAATGGACATCCAACCAACAAACACCAAACAGTGACTAACTTTTAGTGCGTGCAATGGACATCCAACCAACAAACACCAAACAGTGACTAACTTTTAGTGCGTGCAATGGACATCCAACCAACAAACACCAAACAGTGACTAACTTTTAGTGCGTGCAATGGACATCCAACCAACAAACACCAAACAGTGACTAACTTTTAGTGCGTGCAATGGACATCCAACCAACAAACACCAAACAGTGACTAACTTTTAGTGCGTGCAATGGACATCCAACCAACAAACACCAAACAGTGACAAACTTTTAGCGCGTGCAATGGACATCCAACCAACAAACACCAAACAGTGGCTAACTTTTAGCACGTGCAATGGACATCCAACCAACAAACACCAAACAGTGACTAACTCTTAGCGCGTGCAATGGACATCCAACCAACAAACACCAAACAGTGACTAACTTTTAGTGCGTGCAATGGACATCCAACCACTAAAAACACCAAACAGTGACTAACTTTTAGTGCGTGCAATGGACATCCAACCACTAAAAACACCAAACAGTGACTAACTTTTAGCGCGTGCAATGGACATACAACCAACAAACACCAAACAGCGACTAACTCTTAGCGCGTGCAATGGACATCCAACCAACAAACACCAAACAGTGATTAACTTTTAGTGCGTGCAATGGACATCCAACCAACAAACACCAAACAGTGACTAACTTTTAGTGCGTGCAATGGACATCCAACCACTAAAAACACCAAACAGTGACTAACCTTTAGTGCGTGCAATGGACATCCAACCACTAAACACACCAAACAGTGACTAACTTTTAGTGCGTGAAATGGAAATGGAAATCCAAAAAGTTATTTTTTTAAAGAACAAAAAAAGAAAAATAAAAAAGGACGCTGGGAATTTCCAAGGATCCAACCTCCCCGGGCTTTCCGAGGCCGAGCAGCAGCAGGTAGTCGATCTTCGCTTGGACGGCGGGGACGGGCATTCCGATTTGCACGGTGGCCTCGCTCACTCGCAGCTCAAACCGCATGGGGGACCCAGTTGTGGGAAAGTAAAGTAAAGGGCATCACTAGACCGAAAAGGCTTGGGGTCATGCCATGTTTTTCACTTTTTGAGTGGATTGGCCAAAAAGAAGTCTGAACTTTCTATTTACCACTAACGTGGTCTTCCCAAAAAGTCTGAGTTTGAAGTCCAGGAACTCAGGGAATGAGATCTATTGAATTGCCCATGAGTTCCAACCCATTGGGTTCCTGTCGGACGCGAGAAACGTGAGAACGTCCTTTCAGCGGTCGAGAACCCGGTCGTGAGAACCCGCGTTTCGCGGGTCCCCAACTCGGCCACCTGGGTCCCAGTTGCCAGTTGAGTCGCAATCAAAACCTGGTGCTAAAATGGTCTACCCAGAGTCATGTACAGGATTAAGAAGGCGGCCGCAGCTATTTATGGTTGGCGTCGTCCCTTACTAACCTTCATCTACCCGGGTTTTGATTGTGGCTCATTAGGGGTTTTGAAAGGTCGACCACTTTCTCACTGAGTAAATTGGCCGAACGAGTCTAATCTCTTCCCCCTATTAATAAATACGCCCCCCCCTATTATAAATAAATCCCCATATATATATATTAATTGGGTTTTTTGGGGTTGGTTTTTGTTGCTTTTCCAACAATGTGAGGGTTCACATAGGATTTGGAGGAAATGGATTGAATTGTAAGGTCCGCGAGTAAGCGGTTTAATAAGGAATTTTGGATGTATCATTCTATTTGTTTTTCAGTTGTGAGTGGAAATCTGGTCCCGGGCCCCGGATTTCCATTTTTTATTAATGGGGGTCATTCATTAATAGGGGGAGCGGATTAAACTTTATCTCCAAAAACATTGTCTTGCCAACAAGGGAACCAAAGAAAAAGAGCAAGAAGTGCTGCCAGATCAACTGGGGTGAGTAATTCCCCGCCTCAAGGGACAGAGGGCCGGACCACCGCCAGCATTCCACTAGCAATGGAACACCAGGGATCCAAATGACCCCTGGGCCCCAACTCCAAGTTTGAGGATGTTGGATCGTGGGGCGACTGGGCCGGGAACGCCCAACAATTACCAATGCCTTTGCAATTTTCCTGAGGTACGGGAAATTGAGCCTTGCGGCGCATTTAGCACCCAGGTTTCCAAGGAAAGAAGTGCCAAAGCAACGCAAAGGAAACCCGCTCCAGGAACACGGCTAGAAGAGGGCGGGGTTGTTGACATGAACTTTGCGACCCTTGGTATGGTAGCAAAAGCCTTTGTTTCTTGCAGCGCCCTGCTAACAAATGAACAGAACCAAAAAAACACCCAAAAAACAATAAACACTTGCCAAACAACCGTGAAGAGAAACATTACTTTCTACTTATTTTTTCTACTTTGCCTCACTTTGTTCGTTGCCGATTGGATTTTCAAGAGAAAGTCCAAAACCGCGCCACCTTTTCTCCAAAAGCACAACCTGCCATGCCCCAGGACCACCTGGTTTTGGGATATCTCTGTGCCGAACTGAGGACTCTCGTTGGGCAGCATGAGTCCATTTCCCCCTCACGGCCAAGAGTTGGCTCCATGGACTCGAGTCGCAGACCAAAAAACCCAAAAGCCGCCTAGAACAAAGCGGCGATTGTGCCAGTTGCACCTATCCGACTATTTGGCGTTGGTTGTCAACACCAATGGGGGTTTTCGGTGCACCACCCATTTTAGAACCTGTTTTAGTGGGGATTGGGATGTTCACTGGGGGTACGATTTGGATTTTGACCCATGGCCATTTGCCCCACTCGGCCAAAAGAGTTCAACATCCTAGTATTTGCTCTCAACCCCAGGCTGGCTCTCGCACCCAAGAAGCCGCGCCTTGATGGGATCATTGGAGCCCTCCAAACTAACATAGGTCACCAGGTGACGCTGCAGGGGGACCTGCGCGTAAGCACGCAAGAGCCATGGCCACCCGCAGTTGAAAGACATGCGCATCTTGAAACGAGCACACCGTGCAACCAGAGGACCTGAAATTCACGGTGATTACCCTCGCCGAGGCGACTCCATGGAAGCTGCCAGAACTACTTGGCTCCATTGACGGTGGCCTTCTGGGAGCCTCCATGGAATCGCCTGGGGAGTATTCTTGGGCACTCTGGCTTGTTCGTGGCTGCCATGGAGCAACATGGAGGTGAAAACGTCCGAGCAAGTGGTTGACTGCATTGAAGAAATTTCACCCCCCCTTCCAGTTCGGACTTTGCTCAGCTGGCCAAACAGGGAGGGCGTGGCTCCTGTCTCAGGGAATTGTTTCCGCAACAATGCCCATACTAAACCTCACTCAGGCGCGACAGCGGCTGCTCGCCCAATTCTAAGCGGCGCGCGTAAACGACGACAATGGGCGGCTTCTGCTGGTGCACGTACCGCAGTCGGTAGATGCCATGACGATCCTGTGCAGATCTGAATCAACATCTCACGGGCTGGAATACATCTGCACTAAATGGGTGTCCTTTTGCCTATGGTTGTCAAGGGACCCCAATAGAAGACCCCCAATCCCAATAGGGGTTAACCGCGACCATGGGAGTTTCTACGGATTCCTGCTTTTAAGGAAAATAGACACATCTTGGAAAACCCGAATCAATCCAGAAGCAAAGGACGATGCCTGAGTTTGTTCCGACCGGTGAGCTACCCGAGCGGTGAATACAGGTCTGAAGGAAGAATCAGACACACGAACTCTGTTTTTTGTTTGCAGATCACCTGCTAAAAGCTTGTTTAACTTTTTGTGGGTTAAATAGACGCCCCCCCATTTGAGCCTTCTCCATGCAAAAACTGAGCTACGCGGACACCAAAACAAGGCAGAGTGAAAAAAGAGAGTTGCAACGCGAAAACCGCAAAAGACAATAAGCACAAACTAGGACCTTCCAGCCCTGGGCGGGCGGATGCGCTACGATTGCGCCATGGCCCCTCGCCAGGTTTCCTGCTGCGTGCCATATCGGAGGGTGATCTGCGAGTTTAGCGGTCACTGGATTTCGCCTTCAAAAGGTTTGCAGGTGCCATTGACCAAAGGAACCAAAAACCCAGGTCTGGTTTTGGAACCATCTGCAGCTTTGGATGGTTTCTGCAACTAATGGAACCCATGCACACCCCATTTGTTCAGCAATCATGGTAGAAAAAGGAGCCCTTTTTGGGGCTGAGCATTTTACTTTGAGCTTCCCCTTGTTTGCTGGCTTGAGTTGGTTTGCTGGTTAAGGAGTGGTTTCCCATTTACCCGTTACAAGAACCAGGGCAAGCCACCAAACCCAAATGGAAAAAGAGTTCATCCCCCGTTAAATAGAAATGCTTATTAAACACGAAAAGGCTAAAAAGCTACGGGGACGACTGGGAACCACCACGAACCGGTGCCGCTAGCGCAACCCCCCACGTCCTCGTTCTCCTCGCGCTCGAAGCCGTGGCCCACGAAGACGCCGTGCACGAGGTGCATCAGTGCGTCCATCCTCGGATGTTTCCAACCAAACCCAAAAATGAAAATACACCAACCCAAAACTCAAGGAACCAAACCCAACCAACCAAACCAACCAACCAAACCCAATTGTGTTTTCTGAAGTTTGCCCTTTGAGCCAGAACTTCATCCGCCCAGCGGAATTCGGATGGAGGCTTCGCAAAGAAAGGATGGGCGAAACTGTCCAGCTTTGCAACCTGTGAGAACAAGAACGCCGCTTCTTTTCTGGGAGTGGGGAACCAAGCGAAAGGGAAAAAGTGACCGCATCACAAGGTTCCTTGGCTTCCTTTTCCAGGGAACCCGCCCGGAGAAGAGCCCAAGTGTGCCAAGGAGCCTTTTGCTCCATCCCTCCATGGGGCGAAATCCATGTCGCACCACCAAAGAAACTGTGGAATGATTCGATTCCCCTGGAAAATGCAAACAAACGTTATGGTTTCTTCGCCCATGTGTCTCAATGGTCCTTTCACGTCCTTTCACCTCATGGTCCTTTTGCCTTGTCCTTTCTCTGGGAAAGTCTTGCTGCTCGACTCCGCTGTGCCGGAAAGTCTTGTTGCCAGGGAAAAAGCGGCGATCAGGGTGCCTTAAAACCTAAGACTCACGTGGTTACATGTAGAAACTCCTTGAGGAAGGAGATTTGTTTCATCTTGTCAAAGTGTGGGTATGCGTCTCAACCCATGGCGACTTTCCGTTTTGGTTTCCAAATGAGTGGTACCTCATTCACTCGCACGGGCAGGCCAGGTCTCCGCCCCACGATTGCCAGGGGCTTCCGCGACGATCCTGCGCGCGACCCTCCCTTCCTCCCGCACGCGCCCGTTCTCACCGGTGCGCCATTTTGGCCGCGTCTGTTCCAGTTTCGAAACTCGTTTCACCGACCGCAGTCAGCCAATTCCTGGATGTGACCCGACGGTGTATCGCTTGTTTAAGATGCCCTGATCCTACTCCATAGTCCTTAACGGCCAATCGCTACAAAGGAGACGACAGCTTGGCAAATTGAAATGGCCAAGGTGCCAGGACCAAACTATTGGTTGCCCATTGGGAATACCTCAATTTGTGGGGCTACTCCACTTGCTGGTTCTCAGCAGGATGACCTGGAATGACCCTTGCAAACCATCCCTTGTGACTTCCTTTTAGAGCAAAAAGGGTAGGTATTACAGAACAAATCTGCCCGAAATCCCGAAAATATGTTCCCTTCCAAGAATGGACTATTTTTGAGGGTTGAAACTTTTGAGTCCAGCCAGAAGTGTCTAGAATCTCTGGATTGCTTCCTGTCCCAAACCGCCAAATTCCTGATCAATCCCTTTGCTAGAAGATGCACCCTGACAAATCTTCAAGGGGGTGGCACACGGAACCCCCAGGAAGGCAATAATGCAGTTTGTTTAAGGGTAGGGAATTGTGAAAACAAATTAGTCAGGGCAGCTTGCCAAGAAGAAAGCCCTGCTGTTCTCAGGTAAAGCCAGACATGTCCAGAATCTCTGGATTGCTTCCTGTCCCAAACCACCAAATTTCTTTTCAATCCCTTTACTAGAAGATGCACCCTGACAAATTTTCAAGGGGGTGGCACACGGAACCCCCAGGAAGGCAATAATGCAGTTTGTTTAAGGGTAGGGAGTTGTGAAAAATGGCCAGGCAGCTGCCAAGAAGAAGAACCAATACAAAACCAATTCTAAACTGCAGTGAGTCAACTGAAAATAATACTGAACTAATACTAAACCAATTCTAAACCGTAGTGAGCCAGCTCAGAGGAATACTAAACCAATACTAAAACAATTCTAAACAATACTTACTGGAAAAGTACTCAGGCAGGTCCCAGTCTGACCCCCGTTTTGTTTTTGGGGGGTTTCGCTATTGACCAGGGGGGGGCCCTTGATTAATCACTCTCCAACACTAGTAGGGGAACCCTCCCAACCAAAACAGTTGTTCAAAGGGCACCCAGCTGGGGGACCTACGTAGTCAAAGCAACCCCTCCGCATCCCCCATGCCTGACGCCGGGCTCGCCGCCGCCGCCGCCAGCGGCGCCGGCGGCGCCGGCGGCGCCGGCGGCGTGGGCGCCGGCCGCGGGGCCCGCGCGGCCCTCCGCCGCCGCTGCGGCGCGCTGGCGCCGCTCAGCCGCACTGCAGGGGGCGAGGGCCAAGTCAATGCGAGGAAGAAAATATCTTGGCTGGCTGGATGGCTGGTTGGCTGGTTGGTTGGCTGGCCGGTTGGCTGGCCGGTTGGCTGCCCGGTAGTCAGCCACTACTGTGGATTCTGCCCTACTAACCTGCACCTATCTAGTTTTCTTGGCAAACAACACAAACATGACTCCATTCCATACTGAGCCCTAATATTTTTGGACCTGCCGGAATACCAAGAAGGGGCCCCTCATTTTTGACACCCCCCCCCCCCCCACCGTGTTTTGCTTATGGCTCACTTCTGACTTCTTTCGCACCTCAGCGTCGGCGCGCTGGGCGCGCTGGAAACCGCACTCGCGGGCGGCTCGCTGGGCACTGCCACCCGTCTGGCCTGGCGACAAGCCCGCGGAATAGTCAAATAGGGACCTCTCCGCCACAAGAAAACCAAAAAAAAGAGGACGACGACGACGACGACGACGACGACGACGACCACGACCACGACCACGACAACGACAACGACGACGACGACGACGACGACAACAACAACAACGACAACAACAAGAAGAGCGTGGTTGCTGTTTGCAAGGAGCCCGGAAACACAAGCAAAACACAACAACAGGGGCAAGTGAGCCCCTGAAAACGACAGGTGATCAACACAAGTGAGATGGGTTAACTGGCTGGTGCTTTGTTCATCTCCCGCTATTAGTGCGTGGTTTGGGTTGGTGGTTTGGAGGCTAGGGGGTGGTTTCCCTCTACAAGAACTAGGGGTTCAAATCCTTAAACCACCAATCCAAACCACAGAATAAGGGTTAAGTAAGTTGTCCCACACACATACCTGTCGCCCACAAGGATTATATAGGCTTGCTAGGGTTTAGGTTTAAGGTTGTTAGGGTTTAGATTCAGGGTCTTTAGGGTTTAGCTTCAGGGTTTTTAGGCTTAGGTTTAGGGCTTTTAGGGTTTAGCTTTAGGTTTGTTCGGGTTTCGGGTTTTAGGGTTTAGGTTTAAGGTTTTATGGTTTTTAGGGTTCAAGTGTAGGGTTCTTGGGCTGACCGGTGCATCCGAGGCTGGCTTTTCTTGATTCGGTTTAGGGTTGTTGGGGTTTAAACAGTTTAGGCTTAGGTTTGTTTTGGTTTAGGGTTTTTAGGGTTTAGGTTTGCTTGGGGCCGGCTGTCCGGTGCATCCGAGGCTTGTTAGGATTTAGGTTTAGGTTTCCAGTTTGTTGGCTGCTCCGGGGTTACGTCTGAGGCATGCGCAACGTGCTGAAAGCACATGAAATACAGGGAAGAGCTTCAGAAAGGCAGTGCCTGCCGCGTGGAAGCCTTGACGTGGTTTCTGCCAGAAGAGCCATAATGGTTGGTAAGTGCGTTTTGGCGGTGTCTGCCACGCTTTTTGGAGGTCTCAGGAGCCCGCTTCCGGGCGGTCGCGGGCAACAGGTACGTTTTGGCCGTAATTTGTTAGCTTGGTTGCAAAATTGGCCAGTGCTCATTTCGACCCAGAAGCCCCTGAGTCACCTCTGAGAACATCCCCCCCAAACAACAAAAACAACCAGGGTTTACTGCCATTCATGGTTCGATTCCCTGTAAATGCCAGCCAACCCTATGGTTTCAACCCTGGTTTCTGACCATCCCGCAGTACCAATTAAAAGGGAGCCCAACATTTTGAGAAGAACTGTTGAGAGGCTCGTTTGCACCTAGAAAGCTCAGACTTGTCTGCGCCCTGCGGGAGGTTTGGCGGGCGGGGGGTCGCGAAGAAAGCGTTTTTGTTTTGCAGAGGACATGCCGAGGGTAAATGGCAGCTTGGAGATCGCATGTCCAAAATCCAAACCGGATGCTCTCTTTTTAGCAACCGGGAGAAAGTTGCCAGCAAACTTTTTGGACATTTGACAAATGTTGGAAGCTTGAGCCTGGGTTGATCATCTTTGGTCCGAGGCGGGGGCGGGTTCGCGGGCCTGCGGCTGAGGTGGCGGCGGCGCCAGGTCCGCTGAAGGCTCCACTACATGGCCCCCCTTCTGTGCCAGCACGTTCCGCGCGAGGCTGCCCACCTTTGGTCTTCAAGAAACCTGGGGTGGGGGAGCAAGGGGCTACCCAGTTACATCCTTAAAAAAACACCCACCCCCCTTCAGAAACCATTTTTATATCCCCTCTGAGAGGGTGCTTGATCTCGTTGGGTCGGGATTCGCTTCTTCCAGAACCCCACTGAGCCCAATGAAACGGAATGGGAAAGGTGCCTGCTACCTCCAACCTCCCAAACTGGCTTTCTCAAAAGGTGATGACCTGAACCAACAGGCGTCGCTACGCTACATCCGAAGGGTGGTTGAAACCCACACCAACAAACAACCAACCAAACGACCAAAACAAACAGCCAAACAAACGGCAGATTCACCATGGTTCACCGCGTGAAAGGGGTTATTGACTGGAGGCCTCCCTCTGGCCTCGGGCTAGCCGCGAGCAGCCAGGCAACTCTTTGCAGGAAAGAAGGGAATGACCCTTATAAACCTCGGTTGCTCCCCTGCTAAAAGTGTAACTTTTAGTGGTTTAATGGAGACCCATTAGTTGGCAAAAAGATGAAGTCCTAACATCCAATCCAAAACGGTTGATTCCATTTCTCATTCCCTATTACACCTACGGTCCTCAACAAGCGCCAAGCTTCCCTATGGCCCCAGCCTGTTTCTGCGTGTGTATATATATATATATATGTAATTGTAGTTATGTATGTATATAGTTGAAAGGGACGCCCACCCACCCAGGCCCCCGCTGCCCCTTCGAGATTCTGTTATATTTAGTCTACCCAAAATTCAACCATGACACTAGGCCCCTTCTCTACCATGTCCTCCGAAAGCGAACAACTTCCGAATATGGGTCTCTTTTGTTGCCCTGATAAACCATCCAGCTGGTGGTTTCTAGTAAGGGAATCGCTCCATTCCCCCACTCCCTATCGTACCAGCAAGAAGGGGATGCCCAGTGGGCATCCTTTTTTGGTTGAAACCCTTCCCCAAAAACGGAAACCAGGGCGGAATCCACTAAAGACCGGCGCCCTCTGCCCACTTACCCCAAATTCTAGCATGACACGAAGGCACCATGCAAGACGGGGAACTCAAACGCCCGCATGGGAGAAAACAAACACGGCATCCTTTCTTGGTTGGTTGAGTTTGAAGGAATCGGAACCCGATCCCCAAAAAAAAAACGGAATTCACTAGGCAACCCCGGGAACCCAACGGTTCCCGCCCCTCGCTTTCCTCGTTTCGCGGGTCTGTCGCTTCACCTCATCCCCGCTTCCCATCGCCCCAGTCCGCTCTCCGATCCGCCGTGGCCCAGCGCTCGTCGAGGCTTCGGATCTTCTCGCGCATCTGCGGGCCGTAGGTCTGCCGGGCTGGGTCCTCGACGCCGCGCTCGACATTTTTTGCGGTCCCTTTAAAGGGCAAAACGAGCGAAACGGCTGAGGGCGGAAGGCTCAAAATGGCGAACCCGTTTTTTCTTGGGTGGAAGGTGTCGCAAGGGATGCCAAAAAGAAAGACATACAAGGAATGCATCTAAACAACATTTGCCAGTGTTTAAACAACATTTAAATGTCGAAGCACAATTCCCTTGTGGGGTAAGGACCGCTTGTGCAACCCATGTTGGTTTGCAAGGGGAGGGCTGTGCAACTTGAAAACCAACAAACAAACAGATGCCCAAACTCTTGGATCAAAACCAGAAACCTTTCCTAGACATTGGGGCACTCATGTGTCTCTCTTCCCCTCATTTGTCCATTTTGAAGGAAGCAAAACGCCGGTTTATTGGGCAGAAGCCCACATGAGCCCAGGAAGCCTGCAAAGTCGCCATGCCCATGCTAGACAAGCTGCCCGTGCTACAAGGATCCTTGCAGTGTACACCTGAACATTGCCTTGTAAATGGTGGTCTCCCTTTGTTCTTGTGGAAAAAGCCATGTTTCAACCGGGCAAAATGATTCTTTTAAGGAGCCCTGTGCTAGACAAGCAGCCGTCTCCGTAGCCTTCCGACTAAGCTTCTCCACCGTCGCACCTGCCATACAAGTATGTGTGGGGGGCTGAACAGGCCATGTGCATGCGACATGCCCAAATAGGCGGGAACTTGCCCACAGGCAAGCAAGCCAAGTGTCAAAATGTTGTGTTCTTTCTCTCTGAGCAACCCGTTCCTATGAACCAACTTCGATTTTGTGCTCCCTTTCTCTTCGTGAGCAACTACGACGGGACTTCATGGGAAACCCAAAGAAACTATTGGCGACACCATGAGGAAACCATTCAACTTGACTTGAAGTCATGTCAGCTGGCGTCCTTGCTCGAAGGGGACCAAGTGCCAAATGGTCTTGACCGGCGGTGGACCAACTTTGCACGGTCTGCGTATGTAAAGCGGCAACCATTCTCTCAGAAGCAGCGAGGACTTTGTCATCTGAAGCAGAAAGCATATCCCAGTTGACAAATGACTTGGACGTTCCTTTTGTTTGGCCTCAAAGTTTCAGGAGAGGGTGACGTGGTAGGGGGGCCATTGCACACTGGCAGGGTTCAAATCCTGTTGGTCCTCATTTGTGCTTGTTGTGGTTGTGGTTTTCAATTGGAACGTTTTGTGACTTCATACCACGTAGCCCAGCTTGTGCATGTCCGACTTACAAGTTAACGTCGAGTGGCAAAAGGATACGAGTTTGAAGGGTACCCTCACTGGAAAACGCGGTTCACTCTGGTTCAAGTGGCATCCGCCCATTGCCCTAATTCCTTGCGCGAGCACGCGCGCGCGCGCCTGTGCTGCCAATGAGTGAGCCCAGGTGCTGCAAATCTGCGGAGCTGCCATCAAGCAGCGTCTGCACTAAGGTCTCAATCCTGAGCCCCCCTGCTCCCCCACTCACTTGGGGCTATGCAACGCATGCAAGGGGTATGATTGAATGGGAAAAACTCAATTTAAAATACCTCACAACCCATTCTAACTACTTGGGCGCCACCATGAGGTACGCTGTTCAGCATTTTCAGGTGTTTTTTGGGATACTTGGATACGGCTGTGGCTCAAAGAGCACAGGGGTCACAACAAATACAATCTGCAACCCAGCAAGGTGCCCCACACGTGTTCTAGATTAGGGAGCTCCCCCTTTTGATGTTTGAACGGCGCCGAGGAGCAGCCACTACTTACGCTCCGTCGTGTCAGGGCTTCCCTGGAAGCAAACAAGCGCCAACAAGAAACCTGCGCCAAGTGCCAAGTCTCTCGTCCACCGCCTGCGTGGTGCGCTTGAACTCCGTCATGAATCGCTGTTTGTTCGCTCCGATGGGCCTTCGGCCGCGGAAGCTGACTGAAGGAACCTACAGCCGCAGGCCTGATTGCTGGCGGAAGACACACTTCTGACTGCTTCTTGTGACGGACAGCACGTGGCGGGTGGGCTCTCTTTCTTTTTCGGGCATGATGTATAGTGTAGAGCTGGGACATTGTCATGAGATTTGGTGTCAGGCACATCTGATTAAGCCAAATGATCTCGGCCGAATCGCTGTCTCGCTGCCATGTGCCGCGGAGCAAGCTGGTTTTCACGGATACGCCCAAAAAGGGGGAATCCTGTCAAGTGGGAGGGTAGACCAGCCCCTCAACGGAAAGGCTCAATTCTCTGGGTGGGCAACTCACCAAAAACCACGCGCCAACCCTTCTGGGCGTGGGTAAAACCGTAACCAAGACCCCGAGGCCAGAGAACTGGGAGAAGCCCTCCGTTTGGGCGTCCTGTGGGACGAAACATCCTGCACCATTTGAGCAACCCTGGATTTTTTTTGACCCCCTTGCAAATAAGAAGCAACCATGATTTCCTAGGAATTCAAAGTGGTGGATTCCGCTCACCCACAGTATGAAATCTTGCCCCTTCTGTTTCTCTCGCCCCTTCCCAAAAAACCAGCGGTCCACACTGAGCTTGTGCAGGCGGCCGGCCAAGAAGCGTCTGACCTTCTCATCTGCCACAAAAAGAGTCCAAGCCCAAAACCAAAAAGCTGTCCAGGACCGCAGGTCCCGACATGAGGACACCGCAAAAACCAATGGACAGGAGAGACTCGTGCTCGCCTGTGTCGGCTGCCTCGCCGCGCCGCTCCATGGCGGCAGCCACAAGGTCCACGAAGTGCGCCAGGTTGCGAACCTGCGCGCGCTTCGCACGCTTCGCACGGCACGGGAGACAAAGTCTCTCAAGACATCGAGGCAAGAAACGGGGCGGTGGTTCCTTTTTTAGCTTTTTGGGGCGTCCTTTTTTGGGTCGTGGTTCCTCAAAGGCTGCTGGCGCCCAAACATAACACATGGCTCTTGTTTCAACATTTACAAGTAAGTCGAGACTGCTTTTATACCTGGAACCGGAGACAACCATTTGCAAATGGTGGTTCAACCAAGCTGCCTCCATTTCCATCAAGAAGGTCTATTCATAAACAAAAGATGTTTGGCAAACTACCTGAGCCATTTAAAAATGTTTGTTACAGGTTCCAGGTATACATAGTTGCAAGGATCACCCTTTCTCGCCGAACTTGGAAAATCACCCCTCGCCGGAAGAGGTTGCTGGTCGCTTCTGCTCCATGGTGTAGCAATTTCAGACTACAAATACGAAAGCTGATCTTGAACTGCAGAGCTGTCGCCACCAGTCTTTGGGTTGCCCCAAGTAATGACTGATCCATCTGCCACAATGGCGGCAAATGCGCTGGCAGTGCCCTGAATCTGCTGCACATTCCTGAGCTGATTCTGTACTGCAGAACTGTCACCACCGTCATCTGGGTGGCCCCAAGTAACGACTGAGCTGTCCGCTAAAAGAGCGGCAAAGGCTCTTGCCGTGCTCTGAACTTGCTGCACGTCCCTGAGCTGATCTTGAACCGACGAGCTGTCGCCACCGGAGCTTTCGTGGCCCCAGGTGACTACTGATCCGTCTGCCACAATGGCGGCAAATGCACCTCCAAAAACACCACGCGTGGCCTGAACTTGCTGTACATTTGTGAGCTGACCTTGAACTGTAGAGCTGTCCCCACCAGAGCCTGGATCGCCCCAAGTAGCGACTGAGCCATCTGCCAAGATGGCAGCAAAAGCACTTGGAGTGCCCTGAAGTTGCTGCACATTCTTGAGTCGATCTTGAACCGCCGAGCTGTCGCCGCCAGTCTGTGGGTTGCCCCAGGTAACGACTGATCGATCTGCCAAAATTGCGGCAAATGCTCCTGCAGTGCCCTGAATTGTCTGCACGTTTTTAAGCTGGTCTTGAACTGCAGAACTGTCACCACCAAGCTCTGGATGCCCAGAGGTGACAACTGACCCATCAGCCAGAAGGACGGCCGATGCAGCTGCGATGCTCTTAACTTGTTGTACATGCCCATGCTGTTTGGAGACGTATTCAAGATATCCTGGAGCACCCCAAACAACTTCTGATCCATCAGCCAAGGTGGCAACAAATCCACGCTCATTGGCCTGCACTTTTTGGATATTCCTTAGCTGAGCTTGAACTGCAGAGCTGTCACCACCAGCCTTTGGAGAGCCCCATGTCACAATTCGGTCACCACCACAGCACCACACTGCAAAAGCTGAAAGTGTTGCTGCTACTTTTGCTTCTTGAGCAATTGCTGTTAGATGCTCTCCGTCTTCAATCAAGTCTTGCAAAGAGTCCGTAGGGTTGGTAAGCACACAGTTTTTCGTTGTGACAAGCCTCAGGAACCCTTTTCCAAAAGATTCAGAGGCCAATCTGTTCAAGTCTCCCACTGTAGACTCCTGTGGAAGTAGCAGAGCTTTACCGCCGCCGCTTGGGAACGATACGTGTACTCGAAGCATTTGCTTCGACTTATGAACTAGGTCCTCCAGTAGAGAGGTTAGAATAAGGGTACCAACTTTTTTCTGTAGTCTGCTAAAATAGGGGGAACCCTCCCCCAAAAAAATGTAAAAGGGCACTACTGGGGGACCTAGTGAAACAAACACTTAAAAGAAAACTCACTGGATACACCAACACATCTTGAGCCAAAATGGCTGGCGCCCGTTTGGGCTGACTTGGGGTCCAAGCACGTCACCTCGAAATCGCCATCAAATTCTCCATGTTGCTCCGGTAGTGTCGCCAGCCGACAGGCAGCTAGAACATACACCCGGATCATCACGAAGGTTGGTAAATCCCCGAAAGCAACTACATGTCGACCATGGCTCGTATGAAAGAGCGCTTTTCTTGGAGGGCACTTGTTCACACAACCCATGGGAAGACCAGGGGTCCCCAATTCCACTTTCTTGTCTTCCCCAAAAAGGGAAAATGGGTGACCACACATGGAGTACTCCAGGGGTCGTTTGATCCCCCCTCCCCAATCAACCATGTCTAAGCTAGGCTGGAATTAGGACCCAACAACAAGAGTCTCTTTTTTGCCTGGTTGGTGGAAAACAAAGGGACCCCCCAAAAAGCAAGCAAACAAAAAGGGGAGCTAATTCTTGGGGAAGTAAGGGAGTGGGGATCCAGATGGATCCAGTCACACTTTGTCAGGGACCGCTCCGAATCGGTTCCCCGATTCCCCGACTCCCCGACTCCCCGACTCCCGACCTGCACGCCGTTGGCGCGAGACACCACCGGCGCACCCACCCACCCGCTATCGTAGCCTTCCGGCGCGGCTTCACTCGGGCCAGCCTACAGTCTTGGGGCTTTGGAAGGGGAAGGGGGGAGGGGGCGAGGGAGCTGGGATGAGGTCGTGTTGAGGGCTTGGGCGGGGGGGAGGGGAGGCGGGGGGGGGGGGGGTGAGAGACCATCTCTGCAGCTGGAACCTACTTATCAGAAGCCGCTGAAAGTCAGGTCAGGCGGGGATTTTGTTTCCTTGAACCCCCAAAGGCCTGAAATAATCAGCGTCTTGGGCTCCTAGGGAATCGTCAAACAACGGTGTACACCTTGCCCCCCCCCCCATTTTTTTAAAACAACAACAACGGGGAACAAACTGGGTGAGGAAACACCCCCCAAATGTACACCTTGCCAGAACCCTGGGAGGTCTTGGGTTTGGAGATGGTGGTTCTACGCCCTCTTGCAGTCCGTCAGCTTACTGCGGACGCGCGCTCATTTCTTTTGAACCTCCCTCCCAAAAAAATGCCCCCCAAATGGTTTTTGCATGACCATTGGTTCAAACATTGTTTTTTGCGGTTTGTTTCGGGTATGGAACCAACGAGTTTTGCACCAAAGGTGTTGCAGAAACCAAACACTTCCATTTGCTTAAGTCCCCCTTGGAAGAATACACATATTTCCAGTAGTGATAGATTCCCTCTAAAATCTAAAAAACCAACCGGGGGAAATACAACAAAAAGGGTAAAAGGGTACTGCTGGGGATCTAGCCAACTCCATAAACAAAAACTGCGCGAAGCCGCCTGCGTTGATGTGGTCGGCCAACACCTGGCGAAGGCGTCCGAAGCCGCATCTGATCTCACAGCGCCCGACTACCAAGCTCACTTTTGGCACGATGGCCAGAAAGGTGTATATCCTGGGTCTATCATAAATTTGGGTAACCTCAAAAAAGAACACACCCAAAAAGGCTTACTATAACTCCAAGACTTTCCTAAATACCAAGGTCGTCCAAGAGTTTCTGCCAACCAACGTGGCCTTCTGGGCAGTTTTGGGAATTAACATGGCCACAAAATACTCGTTGGGGGCCTAAGGCAGCATCAAAATTAATTCTGCCAAAGGGTAGCTGGCGAAATAATAGCCAAGTGCAGCTCATTTGCAAACATATGTTGCTTACCTCGGAAGCGATTCGAAGCAAATGATGGCCGAAACTTGAAAACAAGAATGACATCCAATATTTTCGCACAAGGGGCAAGCGGAAGCTTCTCATTTGCAGAAAAACAACATCTCTTCTGTTTGGGTCATTCATTCCGTGCCTCTTGAGCCATAAACGGGGAAGCCCAGAAGGTTTTTTTGAGGAGTTCTGGTGCACTTTGAGGCGAGCAGGTTTTGAGGCGAGGAAAACCAAAGGCGAATCCAAGACCTGGATGCTCGCGCCAGCCGCCTCTCCGTGGGGAAGATGAGGGGCTGAGGATGGCTAGGGCGGCGGTATCACCGCCACAGGCAGAGCTGGCCTTCTCAAATGATTGGCTCAGATGCCCAGTGGCCATGGGGGAAAAAAGGGCATCCGTTTTTGGTTGGTTGACTTTCAAGGGGAACCCTGCCCCCAAAAAAAGGAAACAGGGCATCACTGGGCAACTGGGTTGGTCACAACACATTGGGATTTATGATTTGTTGGGCTCATCTCAGAGTGACATCTACCCACACCACAGTTGAAAGTTTGTCAACTAAACAGATCAGCGAGTCGCGGACAAACTCACCTCCAAAAGCCCACTCAAGATGGAAGCAATAGGGCTCCCAAATTCTCCGTCCCCTTGTTTTAACAAAGATATGTGTATATATATATATATATTTCTGTTTGGGCGAGTCAAGCATATGGGCTACTTGGCTCCCTCCATACCTCCATACGGGTGCAGCTTGCCCCAGCTGCCTGGGTCAAGATGATGATCTCGTTCCTCTCCGGTGTGGTGTGCCCGGATTGGAAGATCTCCTGCGGAGATTCCTCACTTTTGGACAGATTTTGCTAGTGGAAAGCAAAATGGTTTCTGCTTTGCTTTCTGCCAATCCGCCCAGGAAGTGAGACAGTGAGACAGGAACAAACCAATGGGTGGATGCTTCTTGAGGGTGCTATAAAGCTGATGCTGTTTTTTCGGCCCATGAACTCGGGAAGTGAGTATTGCAGGCTTCCTCACTGAAAAAGGTCAATCCCCAAAAGCAGGGCCGTGCAGGGCGTGGCCAGCCATCTCGATGTCCAAGGCACCTCTTCCTTAGGCCAAACTCACTTGCCCAAAGCCAACATTTGACCTTTTAGTTTCCCCTTTTTGGATTCCCATTTGGCAGTGGGTCAAAAATAGGTACCCAAATGAAACCCTGGTAAATGGAACCAGGGACTAAAACCGGTCCAATTCCTGGTGGTTTAGTTTTGACCCATGCCCCTTTTTAGTTCTAGCCCAGAAGGTGATCGCCGATTCCCGGGTCTGTAGGGCTAGCCCCCTTCAGCCCCTTCAGCCCCTTCAGCCCCTTCAGCCCATGGCTGCGTGGTTAGACAGGGGCGACGTCCCAAGGCGGCGTCCTTTGCGAGGACCAGGGGTTCAAACTCAAATTCAAAAACCACAAATTCAAACTCCCAAAGTACCTGGCAACAAGGCAACCACCAAACCGCCCTTGGAAAACGGTTCCACCTCCCCAAGAGTAAGGAGCCCTTCTTAAGAGGGGCTCCTTAACCCAGGAAGCTCCGAGATGCCCATTGACCCCCTAAAACAAAAGAGGTTCCGAGCCCTCTGGGGTTCCTAAGAGGTGTGGACTTCTCCCCTACCTGCCAAAGGACCCTTAAAAACAACAACGCTCAACCCGGCCTTGCCGAAAACCTATGTCCGGCGAACGATTTCATTCCAGGCAAAGGAGTCTCCTTCAAGGGTAAAACTCAAACGCGTACCTGCCCCAAGCATTTGAAATCAGCACATCACCCAACCTTGCTGAACAATTTATCCAAAGGGCCACCTTTGCTGGATTAAAATGGGTAGGCTTGGGCTGGGCCTCCTCCCTGCGTACAGCCACGCGGGGCTCCACCCGAAAAAGGTGGGACCGTCCATTTTCATGACCTGGAGGGATCTTCTGGCTGCCTGATTGCAAAGTCATCCCCAAGCGGTAGGCCCAAGGGAAAATGACACGAGTTTGTGGGTTTGATTCCCTCACTTGCTCACATCAGGAGGCCATTTAAAATTGCAAAACAACACAAAACAAACAACAAAACACAAGGTGATGTCGGGTCGATTCGCAAGTGGGCAACCGCTGAAAATGATCAAATAGATCAACATCATGTGTGTCTTCCACATGTTTTCCGTTAAAGTCACCCTAAGACCAGCCCTTCGCCCAAAAAAACAAAACGAGCCACCTGGACCCCCCCAAAAAAAGAAAAGAAAAAAAGGACACCGGGAGCGATCGATCCAACGCCCGGCTCGCTCGGCTCGCCGAGTCCTGCAGGTGTGCGGGCCGCTCGTTGGCCGCCCAGCCCTGGAGGTACTCGTTGCCTCGTTTGGAGGCGCTACGAGCCGAGGTCCAGGTTCGAGCGAGCGCCCGGGTGCCCGGCGCCCGGGTGCCCGGCCCCGTTTTTTGGGGGCCGGGCCGTAGTTGCAAAGGACCGGAGGATGTCATGGGTGAAAGAAGGGCTCAGATTTATTGTTTTTGCAGGAAAAGGCCTTTTTGATGGACACTTGTTTTGGGTGTGTCTGTTTTAGGTGCTTAGCTTTTGGAATTCCCTTTGAATGCACCACAAGGGGTACCGAGCCAACCCAAGAAAAGATTTGAGCCGCCCATTTGGGGTTTCTCCAGCGATGGGGAGGGTTCCATGCTTCATGTTCTGCTTTGGAAAGATGAAAGCATATGTCCAGTGATCGGTTCCGTTTAAACCAACGCGGGAAACACATGTGCATTTCAGCATACATTTGAGTTGTTCCCATCCGAGATTAGAAAGCTGGCTGGGAAAGGTGAACAGGAATCAATACTACTGCTCTTGACTTGTGGTTTGGTTGGCTAAGGTACGGCGCAGCCCTGTTGTTTCAACATCCTGAATCCTTGTTTAGGTGTGTTTCCGAACTCCAACAGCAGGGAGCCAACGTGACACCTCTTCAATACTCCCAAGCTTTTAGAGGCTTCCTCTGCGGGTTTCCTTCAAAATTCCTTGGGGTTCCTCCGGGTTCCTTACGGCTCCGGGTTCCTTGAAGTTCCTTAGGTCCCCCAGTAGTGCTCTTTCTCTCCCCTCTAAACGACACAGCATGCCCCATGCAACCCATGGAAGTTGTCCGTTGGAAGCGTCAAACCAGCTTAGCCCCACCCGAGCACCCTCTTAGCTCGACAGCCGACTGGACATCTCCAGGCAGGCTCTTTGGCACAGGTTCTCTTCCCAGCTTCTCCCTGCCTCTCGACACAACGGGTGTGGCGTTCTGAACCAGGGGCTGCAGCCCAACTAGTCAGAGGTCCCTGTTGAAATGCTCTTTTGTTTAAACAAGGTTCCAACCTGGCGTCAGAGGCCTGGCGCTCTGCCTTTTGGCTTTTGCTTTGTTGTGTGCTGCTTTTTGTTGGGGATTCCGGGATATTCCGGGCATATGTTTACAGTTGGGCCAAAGTAGATGAACCAATTCCACCAGTTGCGGCTTAGCCATCCCCTTTCTTAGCCACGGTACGGGAATTTCATGACATCTACCTTCTCCCTTGTGTGTAGCCGGTAGCTGCCGAGCACAGCTACTGAGCTCCTTCCATTTGCTTAATGAGAACATTTGTCCAGTAGTGAAATCGTTTTCACTTGAAAACAAACAGGTGAAAACAACAACAATCATCTCAGCAAACGGCAGGCTCACTCCGCCGTTTCGTCGAAGTCGAGCGCTTCCTTGATGTACCTGGCGCTCAGCCCCGCAGTCGCCAGCAGCGTCACTGCCGCGCCCGGCTGCCAGGGAAGCCACTCCTCGGCTGCAAATGGAAAACAACAGCCGGCCCCGTTTGGCCCATTTCTCAGGTGGATTGGCAAACAAACTTGTTGTTTACCACACAACTGGGCTGCTTTCAGATCCCCCGCTGAAAGTTCGACTTTTTTAGTGGGTCAAATGGAAACCCCGCTGAAGGCCAAAAAGCTAAAAAGCAAAGGAACCGGATGGCTGGGAGCCACCAAGCACAGCGGTCCAAACCTTGAGGTCCAGGAACTCGGGGAGTTAGATTTTGATACATAAGGAGTGTCAAAGTCGGCACTCTTGCAATCGGCGGCCTGCAAACAAAAACCAACAGAGCCGCGGCTCGGAAAGTTGAGAAAAAATCCACCGATGGATTCCCTAAGCATGAACAAACTTCGCTGGAAATCAAATTTGCCGACCCACCAAGTACCGGAGGGAGGCGGGGTTGCCGCACTTCATGTAGAATCCCCTGACCGACATGAGTAAACCAGTGTGTCCCTTGGGTGCGTGAAAGTTTCGCGAGCCTCCCGTCCCTCCGAAATGCACCATAGACACGCATACACAAACCTGTTTAGCCACACCTGGCTCTTGAACGTGCTGAATAGGGATTGGACAAATAGATCCGAAATCACACATCCCTGTTGTCTCACTTGATTGGATTGGTCAACAAAAAGTTGTTCCTTTTTGTTTCCCCCGCCGCGCCTTCCCAAGTCCCAAGTCCCTGAGCACAGGGAGTGGGTGGTTTCTCTTCATGCAAAAGCTATGGGTGGGTTTTTTGGTGGTCTGAAGAGAAGCCAAAATGAAACCCTCCATTTCCCCAAAAAATCTGCCCTGACCATGCGAGTCACAATCAACACCCGGTACTAAAATGGTCTACCCAGAGCCATGCAAGGCATCAAAGCGGATATCCGTAGCTATTTATGGCAAGGGGATTGTCCCTTACCAACCTTCACTAGGTCCTTCGGTAGAGAGAACAGAATAAGGCTACTTGTTTTTCACTTTCCTTTTTTTTGGTAGTCTATTTTATATAGTAGGGGAACCCAAAACCCCAAAAAAGAAACAATAAAAGGGGCACCAGCTGGGGGACCTAGTTCCTCTGCCCGGGTTTTTTGAGCACGTGGCATGCGCCGCGAGAAATGCCCCGCTTCCCCGCCGCGGCTCCAAGTAGCCCACGCCGCGGGCCATCAGCGTCGCCGCCAAGGGGATGCTTCCCAGCGCCAGGAGCTGCGCGTTGATCACCTCCAGACCCCCGCGCGCGAGAGGCGCCCCGAAAAAAAAAAAAACGAGGCCTCCGAGGCGAGAGGAGCCCCCGGGAAGCCAAACCCCCATTCCTTGGCTGGAAAAAAGGGACCCCAGCAAAAAAGTTATCTTCTTTGCTGGGTAGTGGAAAACAAAAAAAAGGAACCCCAAAAAAGCAAAAGAATAGAAAGGGGAACTAACTCTGGTGAAGATTCTTGGTTGACGCCGGAAGGGGAGCAAAAAAATATGAATTTCTGCGGATAAGCGGTTGGGTTGCAACCACTACACCACAATAAGCAAAAATGTAACATGTTTCACCCAACAGCAACCATGGAATAAAAACAAAGCCAAGGACCCAAATTTAGATGATGACCATCCGGTAAATAATAGTGGCTATAGGAACCCCCATTGTTTTAATGGTGGTTTGAAGCCCCAGGGTGAGGGGTGGGTCCTTAAAGGAAGGTGTCCTCAACCGGTCTCTAGGTTGAGGGGTCCCCAAAATGGGGTTCCCAAAATGGGGTCCCCAAAATGGGTACCCTCCCTGCCTGTTCCTTGGTCAATCACCCTTCCTTGAACCTATATTTAGCTTACCCCGAAAATAGAAGGCAAACGTTTGGAGACACCAAAATCAAGCCACCAGACTTTGACGGAAACTCAGGAAGTGTGCTTTTTAAGGGGAACAAGCAGGACACCGACCACTTTGGGAACACACATGGGCGTCTCATAAGGAAAAAAGTTGCCATGACGGAAAAGGTCAGCCTCCAAATCCTGATTCAGTTGACGCACCCATGTGAGAATGCCCGAAAAAAAGATATGCATGCCCATTTTTGCTGAACAACCCCCTTTTTTGCCCAATGGGAACCCAGGATTCGTGAGGTTGACTCAAACTTCGGGGCCACCAAAAAGGAGTGGTTCCTTTTTAATGTCCTCCCACAACCTAGGAAAAGGGATGCTGAGAAGGGGTTGTGTAATTTGTAGGGTACCCACTTTTGAGTATGTTTTACTCGTAGACCACAAGGGTACCAACCAGTTAGAGGGCTCTCCTAATTCAACACTCGCCCATAGTCATCCACGTAGTGGGTTTGTCGGACCCTTTTCACGTTCAAGGGTCCGACAAATTATGTTTCAGCACATGCCGGCGTGTCTTGTTTTAAGGATCCCTTTTTGGTTGCCTTCGAAAGGAAACCAAAAGGACGCCAACTCACTTACTCAAAAGACCGCAACAAAACAGGTTCACCTTGTGCGACCTTTACCAGAAGTGGACCAAAAGGGCACAACGAAAGGTCTAAAGGTCGCTCGCTTAGCTGAGCCAAGCTCAGTAAGAAATGGTTCCCATGTGGATGGTTGCGGCATCCATCCAACGCACCGATTCGATTCCCATGTAAATACCAACAAACATGGGTGTCAACCATGGTTTCTGAACAGCTGGGCGTTTCTGATTTGATTCCCATGTAAATGCCAACAAACATGGGGTCAACCATGGCTTCTGAACAGCTTTGCGTTTCTGATTCGATTCCCATGTACATGCCAACAAACATGGGAATTTTGTATGATTTGATCCCACATCAGTTCGGAGACAACCCCATCCACCGGTAAGAAAACCACCCCCGGCCTGGGTCATGCGCGTCACAAGCTTCTCACCGATGGGAGCGGACTGCAGCTCCGGCTGAGGGACAGGCGCCGAAAAAAGAGATGGTCCTTTGAAGATATAATTCGGTTAGGAAACCAAGTGCAACCGACCTTTGGAGCTGGTATGAGCTGGTTGATAAATAGGAGGGTGTCCGCTCTTTGTGGGGGTTCATCACTTTTGGGTCAATCCCTGCCCGTTAGGACAGGTTTGTTCATCGGGGGTCAACTTTAGTCGTGACCGAAAAAGTGTTCCTTCTTTATAGCTGGAGCATCACCGAGCGCCCGGAATTTGCAAACATGAAAATGTTCCACAAACAAGTCTGAACTTTTATTTACCACCAAAATGGTCACTGCCCCAAAAGAGCAAAGGGTCTCAAGTTTGAACATTTACGCATGCAACCGGATGAAAACAAACCCAAACCCATCGGACCACACCATTCCGCCGAATTGGTTTTTCGGGAAAACGGCCTGGAAATACATCCCACACCCACCCCACACCCACCAACCACTTCTTCGTTTGTTTTCATACATTTTTGTTTTCACCCCCCCGTTTTGCTTTTTCTTTAGTATTGTTTTTCTTGGGGGGGGCTTATCAATCGAAAGTTCCCATTGAAGGGGACGCCACCAAAACTAGGTCCTCCAGTAGAAAGGTTAGAATAAGGGTACCAACCTTTTTTTTGTTTTTCCTGTAGTCTACTTTAGTAGGGGAACCCTCCCCCAAAAAGGGAAACGGTAAAAGGGCTCCTCGCCGGGCGACCTAGAAAACAAAAGGCTGGTTCCCTTTGCCTTTCAACTGAAACCAACCCCCAACGTCCTTGGAGATCCGCTTCAGCAGCGAGGCGGTGACGAAGGTGGAGGTCGAAAAATAGACGCCCGCCAGAAGCAGCTTCACCCAGAAGATGGGCTCGTGCCTATGGCTTGCTTCGTTTGGTCCCTTCCATCGTCCCAAAAAAGGAAACGAAAAATGTGGGAAGAAGCGCGAGCGCGCCTCTCCACGCATTCCCTCCCTCCCCCGCAGCCGGAACAAGTGGAAAGGAAGCTTCCCCCACATTCCGGAGGTGCGCCCCTGCCGTGAAAAGGACCCGGAGTGGATGCCGATCGCGACTCCAAACGAATCTTGGAAGGCCCCGAAGGAAAAGGGGAGAAGAAAAAAAAAGCGCGGCGGCCGAAAAATTGGGCGGTGGGCGCTTTCACTAGAAAGAGGTTCAGTCACATGGAACTGGGTGTCTTGCCCCGTGAGCTGGTTTCGTTTTGGTTGAACACTTCCCATATTGCTGCTGCATGCCGCAAAACGCAAGGTGGAAACTGCGAAAACCACTCTGGGTTGCATGTAGCAATTTTAAAGTTCAGGGGCCTGCAAAAATGATTCCGAGAAGTGTAGGCCTTCTGAAAAAGATATGCAACCAACAAAACAATGTAGAGGAATCTCCTTGTGGGAGCGGAACTTATGTTTTTTCCATGTTTTATTTTTTGGTGTGTGGGGGGGCATGTAGATGTGAGGCACGTATTCCATTCACCCTCCCCAGTGCGGTTTACTGTAAACACGGGATTGTGTGTTTTGGACACTTTTCGGGCTGGGATCAGACTCCGATACAGAGCCCACTGGCAAGCCATGGAGGCGGCTTCAGGCAATTAGGCCGCTTGGATTTGGATTCCCCTCTCGTGGAGTATCTTTTTCCTTTCCTGATTAGAATTCAACAAAATGGGCGTTTTTTCCTAGGGACCACCCCCCCAAAGAAAAATCAGTGGCTTTCCTTTCCTTCCACTCGCTTGAGTGGATTGGCCAAAAGAAGCTCAGACTTTATGTTTGCCACTACGGTCCAAACCCAAGGACTAAGACAAGAAACTCTGGAAGGCAGTGAGCGCCCAGAAAGGGCCGTACCCTCCAAAACGACCCACCCAGCTAGCAACTTCCTTTGGCCAATCCACTCTGGAAGTGAGTGGACGGAAAGGAGAGCCACCGTTTTCCTGCTTCTTTTTGGGGGGTGGGCGGCCCACGCGGGTCCCTGGCAACCCCTGGCCGCGGATTTCTTCTTCTTCTTTTCGGGCCGGCGAGCTGGTAGAAGTCCCAGCCCTTGTCGTAGCTGATGCGCCAGAGCCCCGTGAAGATGAAGAGCACCGATGAGGCGACATAGACCTACGGACTCCACGAGGGCCTCCCCCATTTCGTGTCTTTTTGCGTTTTCGCCCCCGGCAAAAAAATAAAAATGTGTCCAGCAGTGATCGATTCCTGTTAAAACCAACAGGGGAAAATAACAAATACTCTTAAACACATGAAGTTGTGGGGGTTCCGGGGGGGGGGGGGTGCGGGGCTTTCTCTTTCTTTACCTTTTCAGGCGTTTTTGTGTGCTAAAAAGGACTGGACACCAACAGGCAACCACCTCTTTTTTTGGGGGGGGTTTCTTGCAAAAAGACACGCTCACAGGATTTTCTACCAACTATCAACCAAGCAACATGTCCTACAATAAGAACTCCGGATATTCATGAATTTCCGCTGTGGGGAGTCTGGAATGAAATTGGAGACCCCCCCACCCCACCCCCTGGGGGGGGGGGGGGAATGACCCCCCCTTCCCGAAAAGGGCCATCTTAGCGGTTAGCCATCCGATCTCTAAGCTTAGTTGGTTAAGTGGTGGGGTTTCCATTTAACCCACCACCTGTAAAAGTCTTAAACTTTTTGCAGGGGATCTGAGATGATCTGAGGACAGCCCAGTAATGGTCAGCAGGCTTCGATGGCTCCAAGACATGATTTCTGCCTTTGCGCTTGTCCGTGGAATGTTTTGGAAGGAAGGCTAACGCGATCTAAGACTATGAATTTTGATGGGGAACCCCCTGAAAAGTGGCCGGTGGGCATAAATTCCCACCTACATGACGTCCACCATTGCGGGCCCCTAATTAAGATTCATACCCATAGTATATGGGTATCATAGCCGTCACATGGGGCTGAGCTGGTTCATTGCCGCAAACGTTCCCAGTTCAGCGCCGCTCGTTTTTCTCTCCTGGTTTTGTGCTTTCCCACAAAATACTTGGTGGTTCCCAGCCATCTTCTTAGACCTTTGGGTTGCTAGGGTAAACAATGGCTAACCCACTAAAGGTCAAACTCCTAGGACAGCCTGCGTATATGTCCCGTGCGGATTTTAAAGATTGCCGTGGCCCATTTGAGTGCCGATATTGGCAGGGAAAGCATAAGGCTCACAGCGGTTTGCATATGCATGTACACATGTGTATTTGTATCTACATGCATGTGTATTTGCTGTTTTGCGCTATGCTTCTCATTTGTGCAGATAGCAGAAATCTACTCCACAGATTGTCTCCATAAGTGGCCTTAAAACAGGTTTCCTGGTGTCAAATACGAAAAGTTTAAGCCGTCTGTGCCAACCCAACATGTACAATCATAAGATCCCCTCACCCAGCAGATTTTTCAGCCATCCCCCTACAGCAAACTCCAAGCAAGACACCGCGTCCACGGTGCGCAGCTCCTCTTCCTCCTCCTTCGACATGCCTGGCTTGATCTTCAGCCGGTGCGCGACCAAGCATCCTGCAGCCACGATCAGCGACAAGTAGTGGCCTCAGCGGTAACTTTGAAGCAAAGTCCATTGCTGAGCTGGCCAAGGGCCCCGAGCTGGTGGAATCCTCTTAGGCCTATCAGGCGCTATTATTATAGCCGCTATTAGCCTGTTGGGACCCTTTTGCGCTCTTGACAACAATCGGATGCTAAAGCAAGCAACAAAACAATTGGTGTATGCTTTGTTGAACGAGACTTTTGTTGTTTGCTTCTTTTTTCCGTTTTGCTTATTCTTTTTGCGGCGCAAACGCGCGCAGGTACAAAAACAAAGCGAATCACCCACATATAGATTTGTTACATACGTAGATAAATGCTTGCGCATCTTAAAAAAATAGGCTAATCTGCGCACAAGCACCCAACCGCAACAAAAACAACCGGACACGCAAGGACACGCGCACAGACGCGGCCACGGGCGAACAAGCAAACACACGGACAAAAGAGAAACCTGGGCAACCACATTAACACATACAAAAGCACAAGCACACAAACACAAACCAAACACACACACACACACACACACATGCAAAGCAGAAAACCACACACAACCACAACAACAGCCACACAACACAACCACCAGCAGCAGTGACGACGACAGCGACAACAAGGACAACAAGGACACACGTCACAGAGACGCAGCTGCAGGACCAAGAGCAAGAGCAAGAACAACAGCAACACCCACAACGGCAGCGACAAAAAACACCAAACACAAATAACCGCAACGCACACCAGCACACACAAGCAGGCAGGCAGGCAAAGCAAGGCAAGGCAAGGCAAGGCAAGCCAGGCAAGCAGGGCAAATGAGGCAAATGAGGCAAGCAATTCAAGCAAGGCAAGCAAGGCAAGCAAGGCAAGCAAGGCAAGCAAGGCAAGCAAGGCAAGCAAGGCAAGCAAGCAAGCATCCAAATACAAACAAAACAAAACACGCAACACACACACACACAAACAAACAAAGTAGAAACAAGCAAGCAAAGCAAAGCAAATCAAAGCAAAAGCAAAGAAAAGCAAAGCAAAGAAAAGCAAAGCAAAGCAAAGCAAAAGCAAAGCCAAAGCAAAAGCAAAGCAAAGCAAAGCAAAAGCAAAGCAAAAGCAAAGCAAAAGCAAAGCAAAAGCAAAGCAAAAGCAAAGCAAAAGCAAAGCAAAAGCAAGCAAGCAAGCAGGCCAACCAAGCACTTTGTCAAGCATGCGGGCAAAGAATAACACATCCGAAGCTCCAGCTGGCTTGAGCATTTCAACAGTCATCGTCCTTCATCTCCTGCCTTCAGGAGTGGGGGCGGGTCCTCAAGTCATTGCTCATTGCCCATTGGTTAAGAAGAATATGGAAGTATAGCAGTGAGTTTTAGCTGTCGGAACTGCCCCAAATGAGTGGGTGTGTGCCAAAGAACTACTCCATCAACCCAGCTGCGCTCTTCGCGTTCGAAGAGCGAGGCAACCCTACCCGCAGGGTCTACGGTTGAAGTGATTTGACTTCCGTTTACATCGGCCTCAACAAGAGTCCCCTCAAAACTTTATGCACACACATGGGGACAAAAGTCCCCCGCCCCTGTCATTCGTGCGGGCAGCCGTACGCCGCCCCGGCCGACTCCAGGGAATCTGCAGCACACGCCGGCGAGGCGAACCACACGGGTGCGGAGGCAACAGCCAGCGCCTGCACAGAAGAAGCCACGGACAATGTGGCTGTGGGTCAAAACCAACGGTACCTTTTTCGGATATTTTCGGGTAGGTGCACCACCCCTTTTAGTCTATTTCAGTGGGGATTGGGATGTTCATTGGGGTACGGGGTTTTGACCCATGGCCAATATATCCAGCTGAAACCACTGGTGCGAAAGTGATGAACTGAGTACCATACTGATTTGGAGCCATAAGGGGAGCCATTGCAAGCCGATAGCGACCATTAGCATTAAAGCGATTAGAGGCCATCAACGTCCATCAAAGGGTCGTGATTTCCCATACCCCCCCCCCAAGCTGTTGCTCTGAACTAGGTCTGGATATTTGGGCCTCCGTTTGTCTACGATGTGCTTCCACACCCAAAGGGGATAGGGTATGATCTAAAATGCTGTTCCATGTCGCTATTGCTCCCCTTACAAACCCAAAGGGGGCTAGGTACAATTTCGATTGGGTCAAACCTGTTTTGTTTGCTTAATTGAATGTGTGGTTTTCATGTAATTCCCCTTAAGACCTACCATACTTACGGGGAAACAGTTTGTTGTTCTCTAGGGTGGGTTTTGGGTGTTGGGGCAAGGGTGAAAACGACCGACTGACCGACAACCGGACCCAGCGACTGACAAACAAACCGACTGACTGGACAATCGCACAGGAAAAACAAACCGGGGCCGGCGCTAACGGAAAAAAACGTGGTAGCCCCACTCTCCTCAAAGAAGTCTCCTCTTGGGGAATGCCAGACTTCCCGTGAAAGCCCCAACCCGTTGATAGGAACTTCACTTCAAGTTTGGAAAATCCGATGCCAGAGCGCCTCTGGCAAGTTCAACTAGGTCCTCCAGTAGAGAGGTTAGAATAAGGGCACCAACTTTTTTTTTCTGTAGTCTTTTTTAGTAGGGGAAGCCTCCCAACCAAAAAAGAAACGGTAAAAGTTGGCACCAATTGCTGGGGGGACGCCGTGACCGGTTGCATCAACCCGCCTCTGGCGCTTGGCTGGCCACCCGGCCGCTTGGTTTGCCGACCGGAGGCGGCCCTAAGAAGGCCAAGCCAGACGCCAAGACCAAGGGAAGCAGGACATGGCGTCGGTTCCGCGGCTTCATAACTACACCTCGAAGCCCTATGGCTGCGGTTGGCATGGCTGCGGTTGGCAGCTATTGTTGGAGCCAACCAACTGGGAGGATCAGCCCTGGTTAATAAAAGTGGCCCTGGCAAAAAAACAAGTGCAATAAACAACGCCAGCAAACAACTAGGCTCACCAGCCCTAGAGGAAAACAACCTCCCTAGCCAGAGCAAAAACACTCCATCCCTCGTTCGCAACCCTTGGCAGCACAAACATAGCTGCCCCCTTCCAAAAACGAATGGAGCTAAGACCAAAAAGCTTGCCAAGAACGGTGAAGCCTCCCCACCTTTTTCCCCGCCCAAAAAACACCGCAACTGACAACGGCAAATTGCAACTTCTCTCAACATGCTTCGACTTAGGCAACCAGTTCTAGAGTTTGCATATTCTAGTCTTTGCTTCCCTTTGACTCACCGGCAACATGCAAAATGCATCCCAAGCCTACCCCAGCCAAGCGCAACCGACACCCTGGGCTCCGGGCTGAGGACTTGGAACACCAAGCCGCCCACCGCGAAGAAGCGCGGGCGCACGTCGTACTGGCCCCTCGCAGCTGGCTCTGGAGTTGGACCCTACTATTCACCTTTTGATCCCCCCCCCCCCCAAGAAAGAGAGAAAGCAAAGCAACAAAGAACGTACAAGTTCACCTTTTGGTCCCCCCCCCCCCCAAAAAAAAAAAGAGAAGAAAAAAAGAGAAAGCAAAGCAACAAAGAACACTTGGGGTACAAGTTGACCTGTTGGCCCCCCAAAAAAGAATTACTTCTAAGGGTTGATTCCTTGTCCATTCTTTCCAATCATTGTTCTTTTCGAAAACCGAATCCGTTTCTTTGGGTTTCTGGAGGTTTTCTAGAAAGAAGCATCCCTGGAAAGACTGGGGAAGGTTGCACTAGAACAATGCTCCGTGTTCCTTTTGGCTTTCCTTTAGAACCCTATTGGCCCCCTTTTCCTCCATTTGCTCAAGACCCATAGATTCCCTTTGCAGCCAACATGGGAACATTCAAAATAATTATTTACATCAGCCAACGGAAGTTGTGTTGGACATCGGGACCCCGCAAAATGATGGTGCATTTCCTTTGGGTTCCAGAAGCAGACGACATGGGCGCTGCTGTACCTGTCTAAGACAGCTTCCAGTACCCCCAAACCACTACCCCCAGCACACATTGACGTATATGCGCTTTGTATAGCGGCTTCATAGTGGCTGCATAAGCATATCCTATTGAGTTTCTGGGGCAGTGGTGTTTGGGGGTAGCGGACACCATCTTAGACGCTGGTTTAAAGATGAAAACCCACGAACCACCCGAAAAGCAGTGGGTGCCAACTCAAAAAGGGAGCCACACCCCCCCTGGAGCTTCGAAAAACTGAAGGCCCGCTTCTAGCTTCAAGTCCCGTGCAAGGACCCCCGTGAAAAACTGACCAGAGCTACATGGCACGAGTGCGATCCAGGTGCCTTCTTATAGGGTGCCAAACCGAGGGTGCCCCACGGTGGATGGTTCCGAGCTCCGAAATCGCCACCGAACTCAGCCCAAAAGGGCGTGGCTTTGACGCCTCTGCAAATTTGCCCGCAGAGCTTGTGACGTTTCGACCAGTTCGGAGTTCGGTGCGAGTGGCTTGGACATGCCGCGTCTCCACTTCAGGTGTCTGGGTCAGCCCTCAGATCCATGGGTCTTCCCGGAGACTGGCGGTTTCTTTTGATAACGCCCCTCGAACCCGTTTTCTTTTTGTGAACCCTTGTCTCTTTTAGTGCATTTGTCTTAAACACAATTAATAAACCCCAGCAAAACCCCCAACGGAACCGATCGAGTATTCTTACCGGGCCAACAAGCGTTCAGGTCTGAGCACGTTAGGGACGGGGAGTGAGCCTTTGATCAAAAGGACACCGGGGGTTGGCCAACCTGCGAACCGTCAGCGCTTCCAACTCGAGTGGCTTTTTCGGAGGGGGGAAACCCCAAAAGTTCAGCTCTCCCAAACCAATCCAAACCACCAAAGGGGTAGTTGGTGAACTCATGACCCCCAAAAGAAACAACGCAGACCTTTCAGAAGGAACTTACAAACATCCACCAGATTTTGGCGGGCATGAATTGGTGCAGGATTTGCCAGAGTGGCCATGACAAGCATCGCTGGTTTGCAACAAACAGAACAAGGAAGCAACCACCCGCCCAATTTGTCTGTTTCTGATGTTTGCCCTTTGGTGAACCGGGCGTGTTCAAATGCGCACAACCAATCCAAACCAGCCGCTATGTAATGGCTGTGCAGCTGGTAGTTTGAGTGTATTTGTTTTGGGCAACCAGCCTTTTGAGGAATTTGTTGGTTGAAAAAAACCCACGACAAACTGAAGCAATCTCCACTCACCTTCACTCACACAGGTGTTGATTGTGGCTCACCTGTTTTTCGCTGTTGAACAACGCACTTCCCTGTTGAACAACGCACTTCCCGAGTGGATTTGCCAACAGCAGTCTACAATTGTTGTGTGCCACTCAAATGGTCCAACCCCGAAAAGTGACTAAAGTCCACGAACTCAGGAAGCGACACTCACCGGGCTTGATTGTGGCTCACCTGTTTTGGGGTTGGACATAAACTGGGTCCTCCAGTAGAGGGGCTAGAATAAGGGTACCAACCTTTTTCGGTAGTCTATTTTAGTAGGGGAACCCTCCCCAAAAAAAGGGTAAAAGGGCACCTAGCTGGGGGACCTACGGTGAATGGACGCAATCCTGCACTTAAGAAACCCGGGAGTGGCGATTCCCCTGCAAATACCAATCAAAATGGTTTCCCATAGTTTCAAAGTGGTGCGAAGTGGATTTCGCAACCATCCACAGTAGTAAAATCAAAGGAAGCCCACGTTAAAGGAAGCCTCCCAGCTCCGGTCACTTGGCCCGACCCAAGTAGCCTTGGCACCAGGTACTGCGCCGCCCCAAGGGCCTGACTCAGGCCGATCCAAACGCATCCGATCCGGGCGCATCCGGATGTCCGTGGCGTGAACTACTGGGGATGGACGAAATCCATTCCGCACCACGTCGAAAAAGCCAATGTTAGTTGGTGTTCACATGGGAATCGAAGCATTTCAGGGTTTCTGAGGTGGTGCAGGATTTCGTCCATCCACAGTAGGTTTAGAGTGCATTTGGGGTACGTAGGGTTCATACCGTGGATGGTTGCGAAATCCATTTCGCACCTAAGAAACTTTGGAATGGAATGATGTCACCCCTGCGAATACCAACAAACCATGGTTTCAACCATGGCTTCGAAGTGGTGTAGGATTTCGTGCATCCACAGTAGGTAAAGGGGCGGGCTAAAGGTTTGAAACATGGCTGTAGTGTGGCATTTGGGGTATCGCAGAACCCCTCTGGAACCCGCCATAAACCCTGAAGGAACCTCCCCTTGGACATTTCCAGGATTTCAACTAGAAAACCTCGCCCCTCCCCCCCAAAAAAAACAAACAACGAAAAAAGTAAGTCATACAGCAACCATCCCAACCGGAACCCCCCCCCCAACCAAAAAAAGAAAAAGAAGTCTCAACCGGAACCCTCCAAGGACTCCAACTTGCAGTCACTCCTTCTTGGTTGACGTTGGAAGGGCAGCATGTTTTTCAATTTTAGCAGTTCGGTGGGGGTTTCAACCACTAAACCACAATTTCTAGGGGTTGATTCCCCATTCTTTTCAACCATCGTTCTCTTCGCTGTTTCCCCTCGATTTCTGATGGTTTTCTGGCAAGATGCGGATGCCTGGGTTCAGAATGGGGAAGTGTCTCCTAGAACAATAAGCAAGAAGGAAAAAAAACAACTGTTTCCCAACGGCCCAACCACCCCTTGGCCCGCTGGAGTTCCAGCCCCCTCGCCTGCTGGAGTTCCTGCTCCCGGCCATCTCGCCACACCGTCATCTGCACCTCCGCCCCCACGCGGCCTCGCAGACGAGCCGACGGGCGTGCGCCCATGGGGAGATGGGAGGCGGGGCTCCAGTAAAACGAGAAAGGGAGCGCGGCTTCCGTAATGTTCGATTTTTGGCATCGAAAAAACAAGGAGGTCGTCTCAACTTGGGTGCCTTTTGTTTTTGTTGGAAGCCCCGCTTTTGAAATTGGAGTTTTCAGGGGAACCAAAAGGAAAACCACGATTTTGGGGCAAAGACCCTATTTTGGAGGCAGCCAAGGGGAGCGGGGGCGGGGGGGGGGTTAGGGGGGAGAGGATCCGGATCCTGTCAAGGAAACCCGGTCACGCCCTTGGTTCATCACAGCATAGGGCCGTGAGTCTAGGGCTGTCTAGGCGAAGAGGGCCCACACTCAAAGGGAGAAGCACGGGGACCTGTAGTTTCACGACTTCTCCAAGCCAGTCATCTCGACTTGAGCTTTCCTATCACCTCGCTTCCCAAGTAGAAAGCTCGGGTTTCCCACAAGTGCACCGACAACGTGAGACAAGATGCGACAAGACCTTGAAACAAGGAAGCCCCCATTTTTGAGACAAACCCACAGCTTTTGAGACAAACCCACAGCTTGTGAGACGAACTCAGAGCTTGTTTTCGATGAACAGGAGGGAGTGTGGGGGAGTGGGAGCGCTGAGATTCTAACCAACCCCTTTGGCAATGGGCATAGGCCGCGCGACTATTAGAACTTGCTGCTTGGAGGGTCTCAAGGATTAAGGCAAAGCCGCCAAAACCCAAGAGAAAGAAACAACACACAACATAATCCTCCTCACCGAGATGGAACAAATAGCAACAGAAGCGGCCAAACAATCCCTTCAACCTGACTTCTTGCCCAGACCACAACCAGGGTCACTGGATTTCCCCTTCAGTCGTTGCAATTTACCGGCGGCTTCCCTTGAAACAGACGCCACTTTTGGAGGTTCCAACAATGGACACGGAGGAATCCTTGACCAAAAACAAACCAACTAGGTCCTCCAGTAATTAGAGAGGTTAGAATAAGGGTACGCTTTTTTTTGGTAGTCTATTTTAGCAGGCGAACCGACCTAGCCAAACAGCACGAATCGAATCGAATGACCGGGGATGCCCGCAAAGGTCGCGTGCAGCGCCGAAGTGCAGGCGACGCCCTGGCAGCGGGTGAATCACGGCGTCCAAGGAATTTCATGATCTGAGGTCATAACTCTGATCTTTCAAGGGGGCCCCTAAACATGGTTGCCAAAAAGGGGGCTTCGAGAGGTGGTATGAGGTCGATTCGCTGCGCTTGGCCAAATGAAGAACCTAGCCAACCAAGGAAAACAATCTCTAGAGTGACGCCCTCGCGAAAAAAGGGGTAGGTCTGGTAATTACGTAGGGGAATCGAATCAGAAACCAGGGTGCGAAATGGATTCCGCAACCATCCACTGTTTCCCTTTCACCTCAGGTTGTTGATTGAAATTACCTTTGACTCACTTCGTTGGACCTTCACATTTTGTTGTACAATGTTTTATATATGACGGTTCCCCTCCGCCGAGAGTCAACCTTTCGGAATTTGTCAGGTTCCCAGGTTTGGCCCTCTACCGTGGGCAAGTCAAGAGGCTTCGACCAACTTGGGGTTGGTTGACCCCTTCCTTGGGAACTAAGCCAACCATTCATGCCCCGCACGAGTTTCGACCATATGTGTCATATGTGTGTGCTTTACAAGCGCCACCTACCAGGCGTGTTAATTACTTGACCTTTCGGCCATTTTGGGAGAAGCCAGCGGACCTTGGGAGGGGGTGCTAGGTATGGATGAAGTATTTGGTCCAAGGGCTATGTGGCACCCACGTAGGTCCCGTTGCGATTTCAGCCTGCGCCTTTCAAGTTGGAAGTTGGAACTCGTCCAACAGGGCGGGTTTGAACAAAAACCAGGGTTTCAACCATGGTTTTATATGGGTTTCGATTTCAACCCTCCACTGTCGCCCCCCCCAGCCCAAAAAAACTAAAACAACTAAAAAAACTAAAGCAACTAAAACAACTAAAAACACTAAAAAAACAAAAAAAACAAAATTTGACTCGACCGCTGCTTCGGCTCCGGCCGAAGAGGCTGCAGAAGCCCATCTCGTCGAGCTCGTGGCCTCGGCGTTCCGGTGCGGGCAACGTCTCGCTTTGGCTCTCTCCGGGTATGGAAAAAGGGCCCCAAGTGCATCTAGGTCCTCCAGTAGAGAGGTTGGAATAAGGGAACCAACCTTTTTTTCTGTAGTCTATTTTAGTAGGGGAACCCTCCCCTTTTGAAAAAGTGTAAAAAGGCACTACTGGGGACCTAGGCATCAATCGAAGTTTCTGGGGCTGAATGAAACCTTGAAAAATGTGTCCATAACCCCATTTTGGGTAAGGACCCCCTTTTTTGAAGGGTCATGGAGACTCCAGGCTGATTCGGATTGATAGGCGGAGAGGGGTGTCCCCTGTTAGTGGGGCCTTCACTTTTGGAGGGCGCCCGGGCGCCCTATTGCATAGGGCGGGTTCATTCCTCCGTCAAAAGCTTCGGACCGAAACGCATGCAGGGTTCCCTTTTATGAGGAAGCCCCACTTAAAACTTGAAACCCCTTTTTGGTGATGTCTAAGAAACCACGCGCTTTCGGCGAACTGGGGTGGTTTCTCCAGTTCGCGTAACCCCAAACAGAATGGGGCCTCGCTTCCATTTAACAGCAGCGGCTCCAACCCCCTGGTTCAAGTGCACCGACCGGAGATTCCCCGTAGGCGCTTGACCGTTGAAGTTCAGGAGCACATCTCCCTCCCGCAAGGCCTCGCTTCGGACGTCGCATGCCACTGGATCGCTGAACGCGGACGGGCCAACTTGCAGACCCGCCCCCCCCCCCCCCCCAAATGGAGATACACCAAGATTAGTGGGGTGGTTCATGGGTTTCCTGGGTTCTACATGGGTTATACCGTTATACCTGAGATATACCTGGGATATACATGGGTTATGCGGGTTTTACATGGGTTATGCATGGGTTACGGGTGCGTAGCCCATCCCTATGCAAAGCCTAGGGCGTGCCCATGCGGGGTATGCAAGTTGTCAGACCAGGGGAGGTTTAACATGTGCTCAAACCATGTCCTGTTGGTAGAATGTATGGCACTGGTACATGATTACCAACCTGCAACCAGTGTCATCTAGTCTCAACCAAGCCGACTCTCAAAAGGCCACCTATGGCTCAAACACCTTCAAACATGGCAACAAGCAAAGAACCATGGCTATGTGTCTCAAGCTAGGTTTTGGAACCCTGAAATCCCCCTCAACAAAGAACCCCCCCCCCCCCCGCCAATTGGCGCAACAGCTCCCTTTTGCTTCCATTTGCTTGAGCCCCCTGGACAACAACAAAAATATGTCCATCAGTGATCGATTCCTTTCAAGACCAACAGGGGAAAATAACACAAATTCTTAAACAAATGGACGTTTGGTGTTCTTCTACATGTGACCGGGCTGTGACCGGGCTCCAGTTGCTCGGGCGGCCCAAGGGCTGGGCAGGTTTCGTTGCATCCTGGGCACGATGGGGGCAACCCGACGGGGACAGCCGTCACACAGGGAATCATTTTCTTGCTGGTGCGATACGTAGGGAATGTGGTTGCAGGAACCCAGGAAGTCCCCTTTCAGGAAACCACAAGGATTGTTTTTGTGGGTCATGCCATTTCTCATTCCCTGCTGAGCACCAGCAAGCTCTGCAGATAGCGAAAAAACTAATACCAACATTTCCTCTCCGCTGGCATGATTCACCAGAAGAAGAAAAAAATGTCAGCGTTTCAAGAACAATAACTTGGATGGTGCTTGCAGCTTTGATCATGCAATGCAATGACTACACACACACACACACGCACGCGCGCGCACAAGTCAGCCAGGCAAGCTACGACTCCGAAGACGTCGATCAGACCTTCGTGGGGAAGCGCATTTTGCCACGGGCTAGTGAGCCTGTTGCAATTCGCAACCAGGACCACACCACAACAACTACCTCCCACTGACTAACATGGAAGTGCATAGACCCCTGTAGCTTGGACAGGGGCTTTGTGCACTTCCATGTTCGCTGGTGGGAGGGTAACAAAAACAGCATGACACAAAACCCAAACATCTCTTAGATCCTCTTGCAGGGCCTCAAAAGCCACCATGTTGCGACGTTTTTCTGAGCCTCGATCAAGAATAAACTGATCTGACTCTGTTTGCAGTTCTTCGGGTTGCTAAAATGAGCAAATCAGGAAATGCAAGTCGTCTTCATATAAGATGACCAAAGACGTTCCAGGCCTCAACCCCCAGACCTGAACTTCCCAGAAAGAACAAACAACGCAACAAAAAACGTGTAGAATCGGCACACCTTTGGACTCAAGTGGGGCTACACCCCTTCCCCCCCCCCCAGCCTTTGGCTGGAATGACCCGCGTCCATATGCGTCCATCAATGTTGATTTGCAGGGGAATATCATCGCCGTTTGTAGGAAGCCACACTAAAAAAAAAAAAAACATAGGTAGCCCCCTAAAACAATAGGCGGCCCCACCCGTTTAGAGATACCCGGGCCAAACCTGCCACTGCCCCGAAACCACCGCTGGGTGCCGGCTCCGCGTGGTGCAGGCGGCCCACCAGGATGCCGCGCCGGCTGCCCAACCTCTGGACAGATCAAGCCAGCCCTGGATAGGCAAGCAGACACCGTTGATTTGCATCTTCGCCCCCTGGAAAAAAATATATACCCCGAAAAGTGACTAAAGTCCATGAACTCAGGAAGTGACACTCACCGATATTGATTGTGGCTCACCTGATTTTTGGGGTTGGACATAAATCTAGGTCCTCCAGTACAGAGGTTAGAATAAGGGTGCTAGCTTTTTTTTTCTGTAGTCGATTTATGTCTATTTTAGTTGGGGAACCCTCCCCAAAAAAAGTGGGTAAAAGGGCACTACCGGGGGACCTAGACCAGACAGGCAACCAGACAGACACAAACAAACAGGCAGGCAAACAAACAAACAGGCAGGCAAGCAAGCAGGCAAAGAGAGACACACAGGCAGGCCAACAGGCAAACAGGCAAACAGACTTGCAAACCGACAGGCTGGTAAGCAGGCAACAACACAGACAAAGTCAAGCAGGCAGGCAAGCATGCCACGCAGGCAGGCGAATAGACAAACAAACAAACCGACATGCAGGCAGGCAGGCAGACAGACAAGCAAAAAGACACACAGGCAAGCGAACAGACAAAAAACGCAGACAGGCAAAGAGACAAACAAACAAACAAACAAACAAACAAACAGGCAGGCATACTGTTGAACTTTTTCCTACCCGCAATGGGAGGCAAATCCCAATTCAGTGTCCATCTCGTCACGGTCCTCACTCAGTGACTGAACAACCGAGGGGTTGCAAACTCCGGAACGCCTGTGGTTGCCATAGGCAGCCTAGAATATGATGTTGGGCCCTCGAGCGGTGTCGAGAAACCCCACATGTCACTCGCTCCGCAAGCTAGTTGTGTGGATGCCTTGGGCAAAATTTCCGCACTAGTGGGCAGGTGGTGAGGGATTTTGTCTATCTGCTTTGGGCAAGTGAGCCGCTACAAAAGCAGGTAAACAAGATTACCAAAAACCATGAAAAAACAAGTGAAAGGGCGATCCGCATCTTTTCTCGCTGGGTCTTTCCCGTACGTTTCTTCATTTACTCTGGTTAGTTGTGATTCAGAAAGGGGCCTTCCCGTCAAACACTCCTCCTGCTTCGGGAGCAACACCAACTCGGAGCGTTTGTTGGTTTGCATCTAAAGGGAAGTCCTTCTCAGTTTGCCATTTCGGGCCAATAAATGAAAGATTCACCTTTGACAAGATGTAAAAAAAAGTCGATTCGCGTTGGGCAAGTGAGCCTTCCCCAAAGGAAATACCGGTGTTCATAAGTGACCTTTTGGAAAAAATAGATGGCCCAAAAGTAAATGGGGCATAGACCCTTCTAAACCAGTGAGCCCATCTATGCCTAACCAAACTAACCTCAACAGCACGCCTACCATGATGAACGAACACCCTGCACCACCTAATAAACGCTGGCATGACTCTATTTCCCCAACGTGGATACCGTAATTACCCTTATGGATTTTACTCCATGGTGTCATTTTCTGGTGCGGGTGGCATGGACGAAATCCTGCAAATGTTGATTCCCCTGCAAATCCCAACAAACAATGGTTTCAACCACGGTTTCAAACTTGCTGGAAAGAGGACCCCGGCAAAAAACTACATGTATTTTGCCTGGCTAGCAAAAACAAAGGGGAGCCCAACAAAAACAGAAAATGAGAAAAGGGGGAGCTAATTCAGGGGAAGCGCCGCCTATGTTTTTTCCAAGGCAAGCCGGGAACGAAGACGGGTAGGTCCCCTCGGATCTCCAGCGGAACTCCGGGAACCCCGGCTTCAGCATCTGGCGCAGCGCCGGGGGCTCGAGGCTCTGATAGTCACAGCCTCGGGCGGTTTGGGGAGAAGGGTGCCACGGAGGCTTAGACTTCACAACCCCTTGGTGTGGGCCTGCAGCAAAAAAAAAACGCCCCCTTCTCAAAATGAAAAGAACCAAACAACTTCACAACCCTTGGTGTGGTAGCAACAAACACTTGCTTTTTTTGGCGGCCCCCCTTCCAAAATGAGAGAACCACCTTGCCAAGACCAGTGAAGTTGAGTACATGTTGCGGCCTTGCGGCTTGGAACCCTTGAAAAAACAAGACCCAAGGAGGAGGTGGCAAAATAGACCCCACACATGTCCATCATGCAAAAGCGGGGGGGGGGGGGGGGGTTGGGGGGTTCCGGAACCAAATTCCATCCCATAAGGGAAAGTGGCTCACCAATGGAACTCCGGTCACACCCTTCCACTAAGGGGGTGGGGATCCAGTGCTTTTTCAAGCCCCAGGCGGCTGAGATGAGCACAGCTGTTGAAAAGTACCCAGATTTTCATGAAACCCCGAAACCCACAATGGCAATGTGGATGTGTCTTAGAATAGGCTACCCCACAAGTTGCCTTTTGGTGTCCCTTTAAAACCAACCAAAAAACGGGTACCCTCAAAAATGACACCCCCGTGTGTAGAAATTCCTTTGAGATTCAGTGCCTCTTGATTCACCCGGCACTTTGCTCTACTATTGCCCCTTCAATCACCTGGTGCGTCCGATCAAGAGCCCATGCTAGGATTCAGCATGGAACGGTCAAGCGCCTTTGCCTAGCCCGATAATTTGTCCCCAAGATCCGACCCGCACGACACCCTGAAATGGTAGAACCTCTTCAAAGGGTTGATTAACGCCCGACAAACAAATTCTGTGGCTGTCCTCTTACCCCCTGCTAAAAGTAACTAACTTTTGGTGGGCTAGATGGAAATCCAAGGGTAAGGGACTTCCCTTTTCAACCTTGGAAAACCTTGGGGAAAATGGCAATCTTCAGGTTCTTATCTATTTTCCTAACCGGCAAAATGTGTTTTACCTTCTGGCTGGGAACCCTCAGGAACGCCATCGCAGCCCGACTTCTGCCTGCTTTCTTGGTTGCTGTTGACCCCCTGCAAAAAGTTTAACTTTTTGGGGGTTTAGTCGAAAACCCCTTGATTTCCAAAAAACAATTAAAGTCTAAAAATCCAACCCAGTAGCAGTCAAGCTTTGCGCAGGCAAGATCGAAGCGATCAAACATGTGAGCAAAGTCAGCTTCCCTCCCGTTTTTTGGTGGTTTGGAGCTCCGGTGGTTTTGTGGTTTTTCGGAGGGGCATACCAAGAACCAGGGACCCCGCTCAAATCCAAATCTAAACCACCGATCCAAACCACAAATTAGGAGATGCCTGGGCCAAGAATTCGGACACTGCGACATCCATGGAACTATCACATAACAGGCCACCCCCTCAAACAAAAAAGCGGAAAAAAGAAAAGACAAAAAACACTTGCTTTTTGCAGCCCCTTCAAAAAATGAACAGAGCCCCCCCAAAAAACAACCTGCCAAGACAGTACTCCGGCCCTCCCCCTTGCCCGCCGCATGGGGCTCCGTCCCAGCGAGGGCATGCGCAGCCGCAGGGGGTCCAAGCCTGGCGGCTGCGAAGGGGTCCCCATGTGTCCTCTTCTAGTATTCCCCTGCATGTATGTCTCGAGGTCTATGTCACTATGTCTCTATGTCTCTCTCTACTTATGTCTGTATCTATGTATGTATGTATCTATCTATCTATCTATGTATGTATGTATGTATGTATGTATGTATGTATGTATGTATGTATGTATGTATGTATGTATGTATGTATGTATGTATCTATGTACGTATGTATGTTTATGCCTCTATGTACGTATGTACGTATGTACGTATGTATGTATGTATGTATGTATGTCTTTATGCCTCCATGTCTCTAGGTATGTATGCATGTATGCATGTATGTATGTATGTATGTATGTATGTATAGAATTGGTGATAATGTTGACCCCATATTCATCAACCCAGTTTATAAATAGGGGGGTGTTAGTGTTCCCTTCAAAAGTGGTCTGATTCCCCACATTTCACCCAGGGACTTCCCACTCAAAAGGAAAGGTGGATCACGTAGCCCAAGCAATCGAAGGCCGACCAGGTCCTTGTTGTCAACCGAAGGACAACGCTCATTGACATCACCAGAACATGGCGACATATGACGGAGCCGCTAGGATGGATTTCCACGTGCCATCTTTGGGGTGAACTACGTCGTGAAAGTAGGCCGCCGCAGTATCTGCATGAGCCCCACCCCTTGGTACCAGGATGTGGTCGTGTCTGACGCGAGCCGTGCCACCGATGCACAACGGTCTCATGTGCTGAGGCCCTGCCACGAGCTGCGTAACATATCGGTTCTTCCCGGCCGGAAGGGCCAGTTTTCAGATCCCCTGCGAAAAGGGACTAACCCACCAAACTCCAAAAACTAAAAGGCTAAGGCGACGGGTCAAGACTGGCAACCAACCAGAACCAAAAAACACCCCAAGGTGATGCTGGACGCGAAGGACACTCTGATAAAGTGACGAGAGGTCATAGGCATGAGAACTCTACTTTTCACTGAAAGGACAAACAGCTTAAATCCTGTACTAAGGCATCTTCGACAACAATAATTGAAACCTGCCCGCTGCTCTATCATTGCTTCATCATGCTTCATCTGGAACAGCAGGAAGGTGACTCGTGGCGTGAGAGCCTGAAATGCAAGCCAGGAGCAAGGTTGAGTACTGCACCTGTTAATCAAGCCATTGTTCTGGCGGGTTGAGTCGCTGTTCCCATCTTGACATGCAAGGGGGTAGGATAGTTTGGCTAGATTCATCACAGCCAAGATGGATGCATATCATGGGCTTGCGACTACTTCATGTTTCAAATAGCGACGTCATCCACCCAACATCAACTGCTTGTTCCCCCAAACACATCTCCCCTAAACACACCTCCGAAAATTGTCTATGTTAGTTATTCCCAAAGATCTAGGGGTAACTTCCCCATTCTTTCCAGGGATCCTTCTTTCTAGAACACCACCCAAAACCCTGCAAAAATGGCTGGTTTTAGAAACGAACGATGGCTGAAAGGAATGGGGAATCAACCCCTAGAAAGGAGCGTGTTTTGGAGGGGGGGGCTTCAGGGAGTCCCCTTCCAGGGGGTGTGAGCTTACGATCTAAAGATCGGCCCGCCAGCCAAAAGGGTCGGGTGGCTGCCAACTCGATGTTGCTAAGTAAACCAACCACATGGGAGTTTGTGTTGGGTTCCCCTTTGTACCCTACTTGCCTACTTGCAATATATAGGGCATCCACAGTACCCTCAAAAACAGTAGCATAAAGCGGGGCGTGTAGTTGGAACCCTGGTACGTCAGCCGCCAGCCCCTGCTCCCCCCCTTGCCCAGCGAAAAATTTGTATTTCAACTAGGGGGCGGACAAGGATCCGCGCTCAACCATCCCTCTTGACAAACACATTCGGATACCGGGTCCCAGCTCCCTAACCACCCAACGGATTTTCGCTGGCGGTTGTTTGCTGCTGGTTGGCCCCTTGCTGGTGCTCAGTAGGGAATGTGGGCATGAACCCAGTGACCACCAGACTTCCATTTGCTTAAGCCCCCCTGGAAAATCAACAAATGGAAGCAGATGGTTTATCTCAGGGTCATCCCAATTCTCATTCCCTGCATCTCTCGCACCGATCGCAAGTTCCAACCACCCCTGACTCAAATCGGCGGCCCCGCCGTATAATCTGTCCGGGTCCGGCAGCTCGTCGCCTCCGAATCGCCCCATTCGGCGTGCAGACTTTGGCCGCCCCTTTTCGGGGTGTCCAGGGAAAACAAGACCCTCTCTCCCACTAACGCTCTTTGGATGGTTGCAAAACCCATTTCGCACCATTGTTCAGAAACCCTGGAATGATGATTTCCCTGCACATGCCAACGAACAATGGTTTCGACCATGGTTTCAAAGTGGTGCAGGAGTTCGTCCATCCACAGTTGCACCTGAGGGTGCCCATTGATGTTGATTAGAATCATATTCAACCCCATCTTGAGAATGTCCTCTCGTGTGACACCTCCAAAGGCGGCGCGCTTTTGCCGGAAGTATGCCTTGTCCCGGCTTGCGCTCAGTTTGCTTAGGGCAGGGATGTCACCGGGCAAGAAGTGGGGCTTGTTTGACTTGTTTTTTGTTGCACAGTGTGGGATGGATGCCCAATGAGTGCTGGATGTTGATTGTCTTCTTGAATTGAGAGCGTAGGGTCGGATTCGACCCCGGTTTCAGCTTGGTTCGGAAGGATCATTTGCCAGCGATGTATTGCCCAAATGGACGCCATTTGAGGGATAGATTCCCATATTCCTGCTGCAGCAACAGGAGGCATTTTAATCTAGCAAGCAGCGTAAATCGTTTTGGCCAGGCTCTGTTTTTGCAGGGCATCCCCCCCTAAAAAAAATGGTTTTCTTTTTGGTTTCCATTTCAAACCACAAAACCATGGGGTTTCTAACAAAAAGGCGCAGCGCTGTGTGGTGGACCCCGTTTGATGGTTTTTCGACCCCAGAACAAGCCGTTGCTACCCTGAGCAATGCAAACCAGCAATCGGGCATCTGCGGAGTTGCGTTGTCCTTTGTGTGTACTCCCTTTTGTTGTCTTTTTTTTTGGGGGGGAGGGGGTGGTTTTAAAGGGAAACCTTTGGCTGCTCTGGAAATATTAAGTAAGCTTCCACGTTTTTCACATGTTTTCCTTAAGAGCCTACACCTCTCGAGCGGCCTTTTGGACCTCATCCCCACGCAGGAACTTGTCCCAATGAAATGCACCAAATTCAAACGACCGAAGAGTTCATCAAGTAAGCTAGCCATTATTGGGTGTTCTTTGTGGCTGCGTGGAATCTTGCACCACCATGTCCTTACTGCAACACTCAATCTTGTTACACTTGTTCTGGCACAACCTCCAGCCAGGGGAATAAAGGCCGCTGTTTTTCTTACCCCTTAAAACTCCAAGCCCTGGGGAAGTTAATCTTTTCCAGACATATAGCCCATGTTACCAAACAAGTTGAAAAGTTGTGTTTTTAAGAGGTAAGTTTTCTGCCACTCGATTTTGAAGGAGCAAACCGACCGCTCGAAAAAAGTGGCCAACTCCTTCTCGGGGGTGCTCGGCATGGGATCCCGCGGGCGGCGTTGATGGGAGCCCGCAGCTCTTGCTGAATTTAAGGCTCAACCACCTCACAAATGGCTATGAGGTGGGGATTTAATAGGTTGGGAATGAACTATATGTGGTTATGAACTTTAATTCTGGGAGCCCCCTTGAAGAAAAGTGGCTGGTGGACAAATTCTAGATTCAAGGGTTACCGGTTTTTGGCCCGTTAAACCCAGATAATCCGTCCAAGTACGTGACTCAGCTGCTACCCTTCGAGCCGCCATACTGTCGATGCGATCGATGCAACAGTGGAGAATGTGTGCCTCTGGGTGTCAAAAAGGCCTTTTGCAAAGCAGCCAAACAGATACACTCAAAGAGAAAACGGGCCTCCAAAGTATGGTACATGCAAAACCCATGACGGGTGCGGTTTCACCGCTCCCACCAGGATGTTCTGAGCTGGGTTCCCTATGTTCAGGGGACCCCCTACAGCCCTGCAGTTTTCGCGGACGTGATCATCGACAAGGACAAACCACGACAGATGCTGTCTCATCACGATTTCGGGCACCACTCATGAACTGCAGTGGCTGTGCCATACGTTCCGTTGCGTTTTCCAAGCAGGATAGTCCAAGAACGTTGAAAATGCTGCTTTGACACCACCCGCGAGTGTTGGCGCAATGACCAATTGCAGAGCGGCCAAGGGGCGAGCACCGACAATTGGAAAAGCTGGTGGAGCGGCTGGCAACACAGCAGCTCGGCAAGGAAATGCAGCTCAGATCTGCCATTCCTCGGCAACACAACATGTTGGAGATGGTCATGACGGGATTTGTGATGGTTGTTCGCAATGTTCCCCACAGAAGGCGTGTAGTGTAATCCAGCTCAATGTTGTGATGAACAACAACCAGGCGCTGGACGCCCTCGCCGAAGTCAACGCACAACTGACCATCTTTCATTGAGTAAACCCGGGAGTCACAGCGGCCGTCGGCCTCCTCGCGAACATCAGCCAAGGGGACAATTCCCTCCAGCTTTTCCTTCACAGCTGCCGCGGTCGGGATGGCCTTTGCAACTGGGTCATCCAGGCGGCTTCCTGGTTGACCGCATAATCCAACAGCTGCCGGGCTGCCACCTCTTCACTCGTGAAGGGCAAAGCGATCATCTGGTTGAGGTTAACTCAAGAAATCTGCGTGGAAAAACCGTGTTATCGGCCACAAAAAACTTCGAAGCTCAGCGGCTGCTCGACAGTCGAAAGCAGGCAACGCCGCCGAACATCAAGGTTGTGGAATCACGAAGCCGAACAGAGCAGGCACGCGCATGGGTCGCAGAAATCTTGATTTGTTCCCTGCATGTTCCAGGGTTAGTCGTTGGAACATGTTTGTAGGTGGCCTGTGAAAGGCTGCTTGGCAAGGATGCTCGTCAACGACTTCTCCATGGCAGTCTGAGACTTTCAGAAGCCAACAGCTACGCCAAACGCAAGCCTGCCCAGCCTGGTGTTCCAAAACGCCGCCGAGATCGTGAAGCTTCCGATCGGACACCAGACCTTCTGGTAGCGGCTTCCCGGGGGCGCCGGTTGAGGTGGGTCCAGCAAGTTGGGATCGGCATGGGGCGTTGGGATATTGCTGGTACCGTACGTGTTAGGACGCCACATGTGTCGTGTGTTGGGTCGCGGTCAGGTCGACTTGGGACAGTGGCAGGACCGGGAAAACGAACGGGAAACTGACAGGCAGGACTGGGAAACGACCTCCAAACCGCTTGGAAAGACCGGGCAAAGCACCAGGAAACTGAACCAACGCCAGGAAAGTGATGAACGGGATCCGAACATCATAGCTCTTATCGGGGTCGTCGTCCTTGCTGCGGTCGAAAGTATCGATGTCATAGCGCAGGAGTTCGCACCTGCCGCAGAAGGATATCCTTGAGAACCCTCTCTTCAGGTGGCTTCCTCCTCCCTGCAATCACGGAATCCCTTCAGGTCGATGATTCCTTCGCCATGGCGGGACACGCGCGGCAAGTCTTCCAAGGAATCAAGGTTGCCATCTTCTTCACTAGTCTTGAAGCACTGATCAAACATGAACAACACTTGCTGACCACGCATGGCTTTGCCTTCCTTGCCACACTCCTCTGCTCTTCACAAAGGCCCAGCTTCAGCTGACATTACTCCTCGCGGTTCTCGGCTTGCAGGTGCGTCACAGCTGCCAAACGCAAAAAAAGCTGTGTTGCACAGTTGCAGGGAGTTCATCAGCGTGCGGTTCTGCATTAATTGTGAAGAAACACACAGGGCATTCTCCACTGTTGCATCGATCGCATCGACAGTATGGCGGCTCAAAAGGTAGCAGCTGCTGAGTACGGATTATCTTGGTTTAACGGGCCCCAAGCCGGTAATCAGCCGTAGGCCCCTAGCATTACAGCTATGGCACTGCACCCGCTGGATGGAACTAGCGTGCCTGTTGACGATGATGAGAATCGTCCCCAGCGACGCACGAACTCTGAACGCGCAGTCCCCACCTAAATGATGTCCACCAAAGGGTCCCAGACGCATGAAACTTCATATCCATATATTTCAAGGGTGAGCGTCTTCCAAATGGCAATGTTGAGAATTTATTTTTCATCGTCGGCTTCTCAATAGCCGCCTAACATCTATCAACTTGTGCGAAGTGGGTTTCTTTCACCGTGTCCAAAAGGTTTCCCTTTGGGGCAACCCACACAAAGGTGCGAACCGAATCCGAGAAAAAAAGCAAGTTCTGAGCGTTCCTGGAAACATCACTCTTTTTTTGCATGGAGTTCAATCGGAATCCAGCCAAAGGCGGTTCCCCATTTTGGCCGCCAAGTTATAAGGGAACCACCAACCATTTTCTGACTTTTTCAGAACCAGAACCGTCAAAATCATGCCCAACCAGGAAGCAGCCCTGCAGTTTCTCATCAAAAGGCCTCAACAAAAAGAAGAAGCGCCTTGTGCAGTTTGGATCTTAATTTGATTTGGCAAGTGCCCCCTTTCAGCCGCCCCAAAAAAAGGCCGGCCAAGACAAACACAAGCCGCCCGTTCCTGGCCCGATTTCGACTAACCCCGGGGCCTACGTCCTCCAAAAACCGCTGGATCACTGGCGCGGGCACAGCATGGCCCTGCCTGGAGATTCGAGATCGTCTGTTTTGCCGTGCTTGGTACGTTCCAAAGGACCCCATGTGCGTCACAATTGACTAGGTCCTTGAGTAGAGAGGTTAAAGTAAGGTTACAAACTTTTTTCTGTAGTCTATTTTAGTAGGGGAACCATCCCCTAAAACGGGTAAAAGGGCACTACTGGGGACCTAGTCAAAAACCAATCGGTATTAAAATGGTCGACCCGGAACCATGGAAAGAACTGAACAAGCGGATATCCGCACCCGGGTGTGGGTCCGTGGCTTTTGGAGGCGCGAAGCACTTCGGAACACCACAAAAATCTTTTTGCGTAAGGCACCCATTCTTGGACACACACACACACATAAAGGTGGGGAGTGGTCCCAAAACATGGCCCCGTTTTTGGACCCTGGTGCCGCCTTGCGCCACCTTTTGAAGGTGATACTTACAAAGGGCCACTACGGACGACCACGCATGTCCTGTAAGGGTTGGCACTCTTTTCTGGGCTGTCCGTTTTCAGATCTCCCGCAAAAAGTGACTCCGTTTGCCACTGACATTAACTGTTTTGACCCAAAAGAGTTTCGAGTCCAAGAGCTCAGGAAGTGGGTAACTCTTGCCTGGCATCGGCAAAGAACGAAATGGAAGGCAATACCTTTGGCTCAGAAAGCGAGATGTCGTCTTCCCCGGTGCCTCATTTTCTGCGACAGGTTCTTTCTGACATTTCCCATCCCAAGAGAAAATCAGCGGCGGGACCCCCAAGCTGTTCTTTTCTCTTTGGTCGAGGACGTCTTCTACCAGGTCCTCCAGTAGAGAGGTTAGAATAAGTTGGTACCAACTTCCTTTCTGTAGTCTAACAGTCTATTTTAGTTGGGGAACGCTCCCCCCACAAAAAGGAACGGTCAGAAAGGGCACCTAGCTGGGGGACCTAGTCTATGTTTTTCATGCCAAGACTCAAGCCTGGGACGTTTGGAGAACACGGGAACAGCACACCGGTGGATACGAAATCCGCTTCTCGCACCACCGGTCAGGAAGCCCTGCAAGGATTCGATTCCCCAACGTAAACACCATTAAACACCAACAAACGATATGGTTTCAAGCATGCTTCAAGGTAGGGGGATGGATTTCGTCCATCCACAGTACTGCGGATGGTTGAGAAGCCATTGATGGTCAGCATTGGTACGGGGAACCGACCGGTCGATTTCAGGGACCCACAGCAAGTCCCCTTAAAAACCCATCTCACAAACAAGAAAAACCCTGGCCGACGAGGTGATGATGCCGCGAAGGAATTGAGGACAACTGAAACACGCCCACAGGCACTACATGGCATATCTTTTGGGTTGGTTTTGAGAGGGAACCAAAAAGGAAACCAGTCATGTTTGGTGGTCCTCTAAACAAAGACACACGCATTTTCCACATGACTCCGGTTCCAGTGGTTTTCCTTATCATAACTATAACTATCCGGTTAAAGCCACAAAATAAAACAGGGGTACCAAAGAACGAGCCACCCACATGTTAACACAAGCTTCAGTCAGACCCAGTACCCTCTTACAAATGAACATGGAACCTGGCGTTCGGGGGTCCCTTTGAAAGGAAAGTTGTCTTCCAGGACCTTTCTGTCAGGCTCCATGTTAATCGATGAAAGGGTAACCCAGAAATAAGTTCAACTCCTCCGAATCAAACAATTGGGGGGGTTTTCCCATGTTCTCCGAAATGATGAACCCAACAACAACAACAACAACAACAACAACAACAACAACAACAACAACAACAACAACAACAACAACAACAACAACAACAACAACAACAACAACAACAACAACAACAACAACAACAACAACAACAACAACAACAACAACAACAACAACAACAACAACAACAACAACAACAACAACAACAACAACAACAACAACAACAACAACA